AGTGAGTACCAAAAGTAGATGGCACAATTCTCTTTCTGCCGGAAATTTTAAAACAAAACTTTACATGGTTCTGGGTAGACTATTTCAATAGCGGGTTTTGATTATGACTCACATTGGGAAAACGAACCATGTGGTGCCAACTCAACTCGTATCGATGGTCTACTACGTCCTCCAGTAGAGAGGTGCTCGAATAAGGGTACCCGACTTTCTTTTCTGTAGTCTATTTCAGTGGAACCCTCCCAAAAAAAAAGGTAACAGGGCACTACTGGGGGACCTAGAAAAGTGTGTGGGGGGAGGGGGGAACAACTACACTCTGCGCCAGTACACTTTTGGGTTGCTCTCAAGGGAAAGGGGAAACGGAGATTCAGCGTCATTCTGGCAGCGGCAATGCATGACCCGAAAGATGCATTTAGGGTTGGCAACCCATTTTGCGGGGAAACGGGTGCGACTAAACAGCTGGATTCTGTTCGGTTATCACTAAACCGGAAACCATGGAGGAAGCAAAAGCAAAAATGCAAAGGGCTCATTACCTTTTGGTTCATGCATGTATCAAAGGAAGAAGGAACTGTCTCTGGACTCATGAATCTCATGTTTAAGACAAACACAAGGCCGCAGGGTCAAAAGCTTTAACTATAGGTGGCCTTTTGAAAGTACCGACGAGTTTCCCTGGCAAATGGAACAAACCAATCTAAACGAGTGCCATCATTTTTTAGCCAAACTAACCTAAAACCGACACCATATGTAACTATCTTGGTGATTTGCAGACTGCCCACCCGCGACCGCAAACAAGGCAGGACGCAGAAACCCTATCCCATGGTCAAATGTGGCGGTATGGTCTCACCCCTACCAAACGAACACATCAACACACTTCTGCAAACCACCCTGCAAGACGATATGTGATATGCCCCACAACTTGCGATGAGTTCTTCAGGGAGAAACGCCCAACGACAAGCTGCGTGCTCGGGGGGGAAGCTTCCAGATTGGGATTCCCTGTGTATCACAAGTGTATCCGAAACCCGATTTGGTGATGTGTCCAAACAGGCGCACCCTTCAGTGACGTTTGTTTCCTGTTGGCTTCCCTTTGAAACAGACCCAGAAAGGGTACCCTTGCCCAGTGATTCCGGTTCTCTGTCTTGGTAACCCAGAGAATCACCCCCCATGACTCAGATGCCCAGTAAATTTCCATGAAGGAAACAAGGTGTATCCTTCTTTGGTTGGTATCAACCCTTCCGGAACAATTTTGATCTCAAGTTGCCGGAATCCAGCGGTTGCAGCTGGGATTCCCTGGTCCAGAGTTGGCAAACACGCCATTTCACCGTGCCCGAAGCCCCCATCTCTGTCTAGTAACGTCACCAAGAGAGTACCACCCCCTCCATGACTCAGATGCCCAGTGAACTTCCACGGGGAAAACACCGGGTATCCTTCTTTGGTTGGCTGAGTCCATGGCCCCAGTGAACATCCGATTCAGTCCAACCACCAAACAGGTTCTAAAATGGGTGGTGAATTCACCCAATCCCGACAAATGGGATCCAAAACGGCTTTGACAACCACAGCCATTTGGTCTCAAAAGGATCTGGGGTTCAAATCCCGCACCATGAAGCGCTTCATGTCCTTCTCCTTGCTCAATCCATATGGGTGGCTCCTCGGGTTTTGGGGAACCCGTTTTGGGGCTGGTTTAAAGACAGCCAGTTAGGGGAACCCATGAACATAAGTATCCTTATGGGCTTCCCTGGTAGATGAGAAAAAAACACCAGGTAAACCAGGAATCACCATCTATTTTTCGACCAAAACAACGGACACCTATGCCCATGAACCTCTGTCTAGTACGTAACCGAGAGAACCCCCTCCACTCAGATGCCCAGTGAATTCCCATTGCAAAAACCCCTCTGTCTAACCAAGAGAACCCTCCATGAATGGGAAAAACATGTGTGTCCTTTTTTGGCTGAGTTCGGGGGTTCCCCAACCCCACCTCCAGTGGAACTCAGTTTTTCTCGACCAAAACTCGGCGATCAAAAGGACCTGCCCATGGGATCCCCTAACCTTCCCCGGCCTGCAGCCTCCGCAGCTCCCCGTGCGTCACCAGCGTCACCCGCGCGGCTCCGGCTCCGGCTTCGCCCTCCGCGACGGCGGAGGCGAGCCGCGCCAAGGGCTGGACGTCGCCACGGGAGCCGAGGCAGACGAAGACGAGGTGCACCATGGCGGAAAAATGAAGGGGAGGGGATTGGACTTGTGTTTCTGCGCTTGTTTGTTGTCTGTTTGTTTGTTTGTTTGCTTGTTGCATGGTTGGATGGTTGGATGTTTGAATGTTTGCTCGGATGGTTTGATGGTTGGTTAGATGTGTGCATGGATGGTTGAATGTTTGGATGGATGGTTGAATGTTTGGTTGGTTTGTTTGATGGTTGAACCCAAACCCAACCACCAAGTAGGGAGGGAAGCTGATGTTTGGATGGTTGGATGGCCGGATGGTTGGATGGTTGGTTGGATGATTGGATGGTTGGATGGTTAGATGATTGGTTGGATGGTTGGATGGTTGGTTGGATGATTGGATGGTTGGATGGATAGATGATTGGTTGGATGGTTGATGGTTGCATGGTTGGATGGTTGCATGGATGGTTGGATGGTTGGATGGTTAGATGGTTGGTCGGATGGTTGGATGGTTGGATGGTTGGCTGGTTGGTCGGATTGTTGGTTGCTTGGTTGGTGGGTGGGTTGGCTGGTGGGCGGGTTGGTTGGCTGGCTGGCTGGTTACAAACAAACACATTTTACCCAATGCATCATGTTGAACCCAAGTGGCCATTGTTTGGGGATGTACTGACATGGGCCAAATAGGAAAAGACACATAACAATTGTTGCCAGCCCAAAAATAAGCCGACTTCATTTGTCCAACCTGGCCCTTGCACTTCTGCATTCGAGACTAGGCTGACTATAGCTAGCTGAGCCAACTCAAAGGCAGATTTTAGGTCTTGCTTCTGAGATTGCTTCTGAACCAGCCTGCCATTGGTTGCAATGAGTGCTTCTGTTGTGCTTCTGTTTGGGCCTTGGCCCAGGTGCTCGAACCCAACAAAGATTTGGGCCTGCATGTGAATAAGACATGTCTACATCCCAAGTCCACACATGAGCATGCTCCCCAAAACAGAATGCCCAGGCCTGGTTTAGGGTTTAGGGCTTAGGCCAGGTTTAGGGTATGTTTTCTTGTCATCCCGCAAGCGCCGAAGCATCATAAGCCCTCCTTGTGATCGCCGCTGTAGGGCGGGTTGGTTAGGAGCACCTAATCGAGCCGGCTTCATTTGCGTGTCAAAGGGTGGGTTTCCTTCGTTCCCTTTGAGCCACCCCTAAAAGGGAACCCGCCAAAAAAAGAAAAAAAGACACCGAGCTCACTTCGGCGGAACTGCACTTCGGATCCTCTGAACAGTCCTTGAGGGATGTGCTTTGCTCGATGTGACACTTTTGAATCCAGAGTCTTCGTCCTCGATCTTGCGAACCTCACATGTCCAGATTTCCAGAACCTCACCGAACCCCCTGCCCAGCCCGAGACACCCCGGGACATCCCGGGACCATCCGACCATAGGTGTCCTTTTGTCAAAATAGATGGGTTTCCCCGGCAAATGGAATAAGAAAAAACCCTCTAAATCAGTGCCTCCTATTGTTGTCCACACTAACCTAAAAAAAGACGGACTTCTGCCGACCATCCCCTCTCCCAAAGAAAAACCATTTCCGGGGCGCGTGGAAGTCGGGCACCGCGTCCTTGGCGATGTCCGCGTAGAAATCCCGGCGCCGGTGGACCGGATGGAAGCCCAGGCCCTCAGTTGAAGCTCAGTTCGCTCGCTCCAACTCGCTCAGTTGAAGACTCGGAGGGGCAAAACGCGGAGAGAAGCGCCTTCTCGGGAAAACCCCACAAAAAACCCCGCCTTTTTTTTCCGGGAAACCCCAGGGAGTTCTCCGAGCTTCAACTGAACGATGCCCCGACTCTTTATCTGGAAGACACAACGGCTTCGTTCAAAGCCCGGACCATTTTTCCGAAGTATTCAGGATATTTCGATAATTGCACTCCAGACATTTTTTCCGAAAGATTCCGGAAATTTCGACGACAGCATTTCCCGAAATATTTGGAATATTTCGGGAATCGGTCCCCGAAATATTCGGAATATTTCGAGAAAATGGTGGGTGGCTGCGATTTTCCCGAAATATCTGGAATATTTCGGCAAGTTGGTCCCTACAAAAAACGAAGCCACTGCATCTTCCGGAATATGGCCGGGGTAGCCCGGATTGTGGCCGGGGTAGCCCGGACAGATTTGGGTTTGCGGTCCGTGAAAATATGAACACTCACGTCTCTCCGGCTGATACGTTTCTCTGTCTCTCAAAAGAAGCTGAGCCTACCGTAGAACTCATAAAAACCGAGAAAAACGTCTACCTGGAGATTGGCCAAGTTTGGGTCATAGACCAAACACCAAGGGCCTGTAGATTTTCCCATTCCTGGGCGTTCTCTATCCCAACCGCTCCAAAAACCCCACGCCTTCAACAGCTTCTTGGCGCGGCCGCTGCAGTAGTAGGGGTCGTAGACCTCACCCATCGAGACTTCGGGGTGGGGCACCCCGTTTGGGGTCTTCATGCCGAGCGGTTGCTCGTCTGTAAGGAGGACATGTGCTGAAACCAAAAAAACTGGGAGCACGGGTGTGCTGAACAGGGGGAGCTTTGACCAGCATGAGCCATGCAAATGTAGTATCCAAAAAAAAAGAGTTTCTGTGACACATGCAGCGCGTTTGCTTTAATTATGTCAGCGCCGGTCTCGATATTGTCGAAAGTTATAATAGCGCCGTCGGTCTCAACTAAACAACAAGTCGATGCTTACTCCTTTTTACCACATGGCTTCACAATATCATTGGTCAGAAACACGGTTCAACGATCAATCACAATGGTTGAAAGTTAACTCACTTCCAGAGTGGATGGGCCAAAACAAGTCTAAACTTTTTGTTTGCCGCTAAAATGGTTCAAACCCGAAAAAGTGAATCAAGTTCAGAAACTCCTATGGAGTGAGTGGTTAAAATCCTCAAGTTCCCTGGTAAAAGATCAAATATGTCCGGTAGTGAAATCGATTCCCTTAAAGACAAGGCAAAATAGACAAATCAACAGCAGTTGGGCGTGAGCTGATTTTTGGTTCTATAACTATAAACGTTTATAAAGGACTCCTCAGTTGAGCAAGGCTAGTAGCTTGGTTGACGTTGAAAGGCGAGCGAAAAGACTAAAAAGAAAAAGAAAAAAACAGTTCTGTGGTTGGATTTCAACCACTCATCCACAAGAAGCAAAAAAAGGTAAATATTTCCCAACAATCACCGAGGTATAACCAACACATCGCCAAATGGGCCAGCTCTCCTTGGCGCGTCAAGGCGCCCGCAGCTGCGCTTGCGGCAGGTCCCTGGCCTTGGCCGCCGCGGCCAGCAGCGGCGCCACATCCGCCAAGGCCTCGGCGGAGGTCTCGAAGTGGTCCTCGGGGCTCGCGACCGCTCGGGGCGGACGCGGCTCCGCGCGACCGCTCGGGGCGAAGGGGCGGCCGCTAGGCCGATGGTTTTGGTGAAGATCTCAGCCACAAGGATTTGTTGGTCATCACCTCCAAAGCAAGGTGAGGTCTTAAGAATGGAGATAGGAAAACCAAGGAAGGCAGCGCCTGAGACCCACTGGGCGCGTATATACACAAAATGGCTATATATATATATATATGTATGTATATATGTATAAGTATAGATGTATATGTATATATATATATATACATATATATATATATATACATATACACGTTACAGGATCTACCCACCGAAAGCAACAGCCCAAATACAACAGATGTTACACGATCTCACCCAAGGAATTTTAGACATCACCTTAAAAGCAAAAAGGTGAGGTCTAAAAAATGGAGATAGGACAAATATATGGAACCCCTTGGGAAATAACGTTTACCCCAACGGAAGACTTCGCAACTCGAAGTGGTAATCATGTCCCGCGGATCTTTTGCCATGGGGCAACCCGAAGGCAAAGGTGACAGGCAGGGTCTGATAGAAAACAGAGATGCGGGGCTCCCTCACACGTCACTGCAAAACAGGATTCTTCTAGTCAAGGAATCGGACAGGCGCTGCACCAGGAAAGGTCGTGCTGTATCAGATAAAGCTCCTGCCAGTTTCTGCCTTTGTTTGACATCCAATTCATTGCTCCTTGTTAAGCCAGTAACATGCAACACGTGTCCCAACTCCACCCCTTGGCAAAGGCGACAACCGGCTTGACGCAACATCCGCCGGCCACTCACCTCATGGGGCATTCTTTGATTCTTTGCATGTGGGCTTGCCTTAAACAGGGGGCCCCTAAAAATGGCAGCTTTCCCTTTGGTATACCGTTTAACTGGCCTGTCCTCAGATCTCCTGCCAAAAGTTTCCAGCTGTCCGTGGGTCGAACTGCGCACCCAACCAAGAAACCAAACCAAAAACCACGAAACGCCCTCAGGCAGCGGCCGGGAACCGCCCAGTTAGACCCAGAAAAAGGGCCCGTCTCTGGCACCCGAGCCGCGCCGGCATCCACTTCGTAGGGCCAGAGCCTGGGATGTGGAGCTCGACGTGCTGGTTTTTGTTTGGGGTCATCCTGTCCGCGTTTCTGGGGGGATTTGACTGGAGTTGTGTTTAGAGGGGATGTGGCAGGTTTTTATACAGTTTTGGGGGGACCGTTCCATTCAACGAAGCATAGCGCAGTCAGTAAGTACGAACCTCTTCGTATTTCAGCAACTCAACCATTCGATAAGTAACTTTCGTTTTCGTTCTTGTGTCTTGAAAGCAAGAGAAGAAGCTTTGCAAGCGAAAACCGTCTACACTTGGGATGCCAAGTTGCTGTGTCGCTGAATGTTTACGGTAAGACAGGGACGTCAGGCAACACAAACATGTGAAACCAGCAAACACATCAGTTGGCATTTCTGCAATCGGGCCATCTTGGGTGAGCCTGTGGACTCGTCGTGCTCCGTTCCGACTTACTAGACCCTCTAAATGCATGTTCCATACTGGACAGGGATCCTTACATTATACACTTGAACATTGCCTTGTAAATGGTGGTTTCCATTTATTTTGGCGGAAAAAGCCATGTTGCAAATGTGCAAAATGTATCTTTTAAGGAGCCCTGCTGGAGCTTTTGCCCGTTTTCTGCGAGGAAAGCAAAACTGACTCCAACTCAAGGCGCGAGGTGCTGACGCCCCTCATTGCGAGCCCCTGGAAAGTTCTGAACAGAGCAAACCAAACGCGGATCGCCCAGGATTCTGCTGGAAATCCCTGTTTTTGGTGGCTGTTTGACCAACTTCCGGCAGAAGTCCCTGCTGCTTGCGTGCAATATCCGCCTGAATTGCGCCAAAGAAACTCGTCCATGCTGCGCCATGGATCTTGTCAAACGAGCATTTCCCGGCTTGATCTGTCTCGAGCTAACGTCAGGAAACCCGAGTGAGCCTCAATGTACAGCAACCGAACGTAACTCAGCTCCCGAACGCAACTTCAAGAACGCTTTGTGATTGAAGCGGCAGTGTAAAGCAGCCGACCGCTCGTCAAGGAGTTTCCTGCATGCATGCTGCATGAGGGTAGCATGGACGCACTCACTGGGACAAAAGCGGCACGTCAAACTTTCATTGCAACATCAGCCCCTCCCAAGCTGACATTCATCTGTCCATGGACAGGCTTGAGCAGATCGGTTGCGGCGGACGCTGACGGCAATAAAACATGTCTGCCCAGGTGCTCTAGCCCTTACCAATCTTGAGCAACCTATGCATTCAGGATGAGTACATCTTTGTCCGGCCGTGCTCAAGGTTTCAACTGGGATGTCTTCTTGGGGCTACTTGGGGGACTTCAACTGGGGATATGTTCCACTACCTCGGGTGGTAATCCAAGTGCGGCAGTCGGCACGCATTCCTTCCGATGGCCTCTACCCCAAACAGGCGCTCGCTTCTTTCTCTCGCACGCGTGGTTACATTTGGATGCTCCGCATGCGGATCATAAAAAACCAAGTCCCAAGAGAGCAAACCTTGAGGCAAGTGGCTACAGCGAATAAAGGTAAGCAAGGAACGCGGATCTGCAGGTGGAACATCCAAACAACTTTTCTAGGCATCGGAGACACCAGTGGCCACCTGCTTTGCAGGGCGCCCCTTTGCGAGCTTCAACTTTTTGCGTAGGGATTGTCGGCTTCCAGATGCATGACATACACAAGCCGCGTGTTTGCGCGGCACAGCTCGTGGTTTGGGTTCAAGGCGGCATTTGCCGAGTCTTGAAACAGGACACGGTGTTTTGGTTCAGACACAAATCTCTTGACGAAAAAACTGGGGCTGGGCAACTGCAGTTTCGGACCGCGCCGAATGTCTGCCGAATGATCCCACAGCTCAGAGGGCTCACTGCAAGGTATCGTCCTGCGATCCGCGTCAAACAACACCCAACAATTAGCCACATGGGAAAATGAGGGCTGAGATTCAGTGGCTGTTCACTTGGGAGTGACTTAGGAGAATGGACACTCTCTGAGAACCCACACATAACCAACTACCTTCTGGAAAGCACATGGCGAAGTCCTTGTCGCTTTGGATGCAGGGATGAACACTAGAGTGGACGTAGTGAAGCTCAATTGTGCCCAACAAAACTAGTCCGGTCCTGTCACTCCGAAGGAATGACAATCATTTCGCAGCGGAAGCTCCAAAGCAGTCTACGCACAATACCGGGGAACAGTTCAACAATCAAACAAAAGGACGCACCGCAACGCATAGTGCCGTACTCAGCTCAAACGACCTTGAAATGAGGTTGCAATGGCCGAACAAAGACCAAGCATAAGCTCAACTGGCAAGGGCAAATTGTGCTTCGCCCCAGGGTTGCACCAGCAGCAAGGATCTGTGTCGTGTAATTACCCTTCAGGATGCACTCCATCTGTGTACCCCAAATTCCCCTTCCCCGAGGGTACGAGTACACCACATCCCTTGACATTCGAACGTTTTTGAGCATCCGAAAACCCCATCCTTCCGCCCCATTCAACCCACTTTGTTTTTCGGCGATGTCAAACTCGGCCAAGCTCCGTTTTGCAGCAGCTCGACGCTTTGGGAGCGTGTCTTTTTCTTTCTCGGAAGAAAACCCGTGAACATAGGTGGCAATGGGTTTCACTGGTAAATGGAAGAAACCCCATCTAAACCAGGGCCCTCTATTGTTTAAGCAGACCAAGAAGGACACCTATGACATGGCTGTGGGTGAAAAATACGTACCCCAGATGGAATTCTGGCAGATGCAAGCAAGGACGAAAACCTGGGGTCCCGTGGTGGCTTGATTTTGACCCATACCCACATGACGCATGCTCTCGAGCCCGACACAGCTCTCCCGTGGCTGACCCTTGGTCCTGGATGGCCAAGCCCTCAGCGGAACAGATCGACCGGAAATCCCGGACTGAGTACTCAACACCCGGTTTCCCATGTCCCCTCCAGATCCAGGGACCCGTTTACATCCAAATCCCAGCTGAGGACCCCCCTAAACACACTAGAAGCAACTCTAACAACCTGAGTCACAATCAAAACCCGGTATCCGAATGGTCGTAATCCCGGAACCATGTTTCAAGAATCAAGGAGGCGGATATCCGCAGCTATGTATTGTTGGGATTGCCAACCTTCATCTACCCGGGTGTTGATTGTGGCTTGACTGACTCGGAGCTGACGCAAGTCTTACCCTCTGCCCGCTAACAGAAGGTGGAACGGTACCTGGCAGAACAATGTCAAGCGAGCTGTTGTCCGCCGTGTTGGTGGGCAGCCGAAAGCAAAAGACAACTCAGTCAGTTTGCAGGTAATCAGAAGCCGTCCTTGGACCAAATCATGTTCACCGGTTGACCTGGACCTGAGCCATCTCAATTTCCCAAAGGACTCAGACATAGGTTCACCTCTTGGGGCCATGACTTCGACAGGCGAGCGGCTTCGAGTGAGACGCCGCACGCTCACTGTCCCATGCCGGGTGCCCCACATAAGGCAAACCCAACACAGAAGAGCCCGGAGGCAAACATTCTTCGAAGGCAGGACCAACACAGGGGAAAACTAAAAGGTGAAAAGGTCGATTCGCTTTGGGCCGCTGAGCTCCAGGAAGTGGTGAGTCTACCCCGAATCTGGGCTTGTCCGTTTTCAGATCCGCTAAAAGTGACGAACTTTGAGTGGGTTAAATACGGAAACACTAAACTAAAAGGCTAAGGAACCGGATGCCTGGAAGCCGCGAAGGAACCACTCTCGATAGGAAACTGGGCCAGGGGCGTGCGCAAGTTCTGCCAGCTGATGCCTCGGAGTACAGCAACGATGCGACGCAAAGGCCCAAACCGAATCACAAGAAGCGAGAGCAATGCACCCCCAACACAACTTGAAGCTGATGCTTCGAAGTGACTGTCAGCTTCAAAGTCAGCTTCAAATGACTATCCAGCTTCAAAGGGGGCTTCTGAGGTTCTAAATGGCGGTCAGCTTCAAAATTCCTATCCAACTTGATCGGACAACGGGCAAGGCCCAGCTTCCCCTAAAGCTTGTTGTTGAGGCTGCTTCAAAGGCAGCATCCAAGCCAACAACTTCCAAAGGATGCTAGCGGGTGGCCAACCCCTGTCTTCTGAAAGCACATATTTTTAGTTATCGCTCGGACGGCGACCAGCATGTGGCTGCTGAAACAACCCAGAAAGAAAAAAAACAACAAGAACCCAGTGCTGGAGTCTTGGATTCATGTGATCCCAAGCGAAAACCACGCAACACAAACACATATGGCCATGGGTCAAAATCCAAATCGTACCCCCAGTAAACATCCCAATCCCAACTAAAATAGACTAAAATGGGTGGTGCACCTACCAACCAAAATGGTACCATTGGTTTTGACCCACAGCCATATCATACTGAGCACCTAAAAAAACAACAACTGCTTTTTCTCAGATCGAGCCGAATCGGCCAGGCCTCCAAACAACATGTTCCTCCAATCCACACATTCAACTCAATGCCGGCAAGCAACACACACGCAATCCGCATGTCTGCATGTTTCAAACCTGCCTGACTCGCCCGATTGGCCTGTGACATCCTCGTGCTGAGAAAGTACCCACCAAACAACGTAACACACAACCCACATAGTGCTCTAACTGCAGTTGCCATGCTCGTACATTGAACCGAACACCAATAGAAAACACAAAGTTCATACTTCCCAACAAAAGCGACCCCTCCAACTGCTCGGACCAGGCCAAGGTTTACCTGTTTAATTGCAAACAAAGGGGTCCTACAATCCATGAATGTGCAGTTGTAGAAACACTCTTTGTTCAGGGCCCTGTGCCTCCCAAAACGGGGACAAAAGCTACTTGCAAGAGTAAAAGTCATCCCTCATGCTCTGAGTCGCGTTCAAAGGGATGCTGAAGGGTCGGCAGTTCTCCATTGGAGGGGAGGGCGTGCATTTTGACCCTTAGGGAAAAGGGACGCCCACAGAAAACCACTGTTGAAATCCACAAAGAACTAAACACCACCGGATCTTCTATGAAAACCACAAAAGGTAACCACAAAAACCACTGAGAATCAGACATACCCACAAAGATCTTCACTGAAAACCACCCCAAAAAACACACAACCACTGATCTTCCCTCAAAGCCACAAAACATGTCCAGAGAGATATCGGCCAACCACCAAAAACAAGACAGCGAGTTCACTGGGACTGGGTGCTGGAGATGCTGCACCGCCGTCCGCGTCTCCTGCCGCTTCTGCGCCTCCCGCCGGAGCCTCAGGTGCCCGCCGGGGCGGCAAATCTCCGTTTTCGCTCGGGAAAAATGAGAGAACATATGTCCAGTAGTGAAATCGATTCACTTTTTAAAGAAGGGAACACACATTACACATAGTCATTTCAGCAAATGAAAGTGAATTTCTGGGTCAATTTGCTGGATGTGTAGGTCAACTTGCTGGATTTCCAGATGAATTTGCTGGATTTCTAGGTCGGGGGTTGATGGCTTTTGAAGATCAACACGGATCAACGAGAGGAGAACACCCACCAACAACGAGGAACAATCAAATTTACAAAACATAGAAACCTACCCAAAAACTCACCTGAACAAATTGAAAAGACTCCTTTCCCCCAGACCCCCAGACCCCCAGAACCCCAGAACCCCCAGACCCCCTGACCCCCAGACCCCCAGACCCCCAAAACCCCCAGACCCAGACCCCCAAAACCCCACGTCTCTAGGGGTACCTTCACATTCTTTCCAGGGATCCTTCTTTCTAGAATACATCCGGAAACGCAGGGAAAACCACTCAGAGCTTCCTCCATCTCCTTGTTTTTGGAAGACTCCAACCCAGTCAGCTTCGTCAGCTCAAAGCTCTGAGGCTCTGGGCGCCTCCCAGCCCAGCTGCGCTGCGGCGCCCAGCAGCTCCGCACCCTTCCGGGCGCGGCTCAGGGCCTCCACCCGCTGCCGCCAGGCCTCGACACGGCTCGGATCGGAGCTGGGCACCCCCGGCACGGGGGCGGGTGTTTGAAGGGACGCCAAACGGAAAACCCGGAAAGCCGGATTGGTTGGTCGGAAAGGAGGGGAATATTTCGCGTTTTGGTCGGTTTTCAAGGGAAGCCAAAGGGGAAACCCACGAAAACAAAAATGCGGGTCTACTTAAAGCTGCTCGTCGCTTTCTTTGGACGTTGGCACCATGGGTGTCCTTTTAGGGCAAATAGATGGGTTCCCTGGTAGGTGAGTAAACCATCAGGTACACCACGAATCGCCATCTATTGTTCTACCAAAACAACCAAAAAGGACACCTATGGTTGGCACCCCGTGTTGGTCGGTTTTAAAGGGAAGTTAAAAGGGAAACCCACGTTTGTTTGTTTAAATGTGGGTCTACTTAAAACTGGATGCCGCACTGGATCAATGGCAAAAATGCATGTGCCCATGTTTGAACCCCTGTCATGTTTACGGGTGAACTACCCATGAGTTGTGGCTTGATTATGGGTAGTCAGCCTGTGGGGTCCAAAATGGCCATGGGTTCATATATAAAAGACTCTATGACTTGCTGGTTCCATAGGCAGGGAATGAGGAAATGATTTCTATAAACCACTTGCTATGGTTTCTAGGTCCTCCAGTGAAGAGGTTAGAATAAGGGTACCCTTTTTGTTCCGTAGTCTATTTTAGTAGGGGAACCCTCCCCCAAAAAAGGGGAGAGAAGGGCACTACTGGGGGACCCAGGCTTCTTCTAAGGGAATCCCCAGGCTCCTTGTTACTACCCTGGGCCGTTCCCTACCTATCGCACCAGCAAGATGAAGACTCTCGATGAACATCAAATATATCTTCCATCCCTTGGTATGGTGAAAACAGCTGTGTGTTTTGCAGCCCTTTACAACAAAAAAGAAGAACCAAACAACATAAAAAAAAAAAAAACATAATATATATATATATATATAGTATATCCTATTTGTATGTTTCTGTTTATGCTTAAGCAAGCCAATTTCTCACTTTGTGAGTGAAACGGCCAAACCAATCTAAAATAGTCTTCCCAAAAAGTATAAAGTCCAATAACTCTGAAAGTAATATTTGACATATCTCTTGATGTGTGTGTGGCACTGCAAACTGCCAACTGACGGATCTTGGCCGAATTTCGCGATCAAAAAACACACACGCACACACGCGCGCGCGTGCACGCACGCAAGCACGCACGCATGCACGCATGCACGCACGCACGCGCACGCAACTGCAGACACGCCTGCAAACACCCAACAACAGTCGCACACACACACACACCAAAGCACGCGCCCACACACCCACAGAAAATAATATACAATAAAAACTACAAGACACAAACAAGCAACAAAAACAAACTCACACAAACGCACAAACACACGCTCACACATACACCAAAACCAAGCAACCACACAAACAAACAAACAACCAACAAAGTCAGCAAATGTGAGCAAGCAGGCAGTCTGCAATCGACAAAGCAAATGTGAGCAATCGATCGACAAAGCCAACTGCCGAAGAATATGTTGGTTTCATCAACACAATTCATGTCTCGCAATACTGAGCAAACCAATAAATTTTAGCAGTTCAGTGGTTGGATTTCAACCACTACACCACTAAAAGCGAAAATTCGAAAAATGTTTACCAACAACAACCATGAATCATTAGCCCGAAACCGAGAATCAAGCTAGACCTTGCCGGTGGCCACCAGAGTACAAAGAAGGCCACTGAGGTCTGCACATCCAACGCCACAAAACGATTCTCCCGTCAAGACGGATTGCTGAGAAACCACGTTTTGGTCATAGGTGGCCTTTTTGGAAAAATCGATGCGTTTCCCTGGTAAATGGGTAAGAAACCCCACCTAAACCAGTGGAACCCATCTATCTTTTAAGCAAACTAACCGATCAAAAGGACACCTATGCTTTTGGATCTATGGCTGCACCCCGCTTCGCAGCCGTGACCTCTTTCAAAAAGGCGGAGATCGGCTCAACGGGTTTGGTCCAACCTCACCTGGTTGAGTTCAAGATGGGTCTGAAGGATCATCTGAGCTGCCCTCATTTTGAAAGGGGCGCAAAAAGGGGCCATATGGCCATGAATCATAATTTGGACATCATTTGGATGGGGAGGGGGTTCCCCACTAAAATGTGAAGACATAATATGGGTGTGTCAAAGTGGTTTTGCTTTTGGCTTTGCTTTTGATTCTTTGAAGGGTTTCCCAGTTGGTTTCGCTTTCAAACCACAAAAGGGGGTACCCTACCAAACACATACAAAGCCATATTTGTGATCTCCGTGCCCTCAAGACAAACATCCAAAGCCATATTCTTGATAGGGTCCGGTGTTTTTTTGATAAGAATCCAGATAAGGTAAAATCCAGGAAACAAATCTTAAGGCAAAACGGGATAAAATTCCCAACACACTCGGTTGCTTGCTGCTCCCCTGCTAAAAGTGAATAACTTTTCGTGCTTTAATTCGGAAAACCCATGAGTTGGCGAAAAGTTATTCAGTCCTAACATCCCTTGGACAGATGCAAAGATATGCAAAGAATACGTCGCCCTCCTTTTTGATATCACCTCCCCACCCGCCCACCCCGCCCGGAAGCGAGCGAGCGAGCTGAGATGAGCTGAGGCCAAGAGGCTTGCAAGCGCCGGGTCCAGGTGGGCAGCCAGGAGCTCCACTGGCCCTCGCCATCGCTTTGCGAGTGAACTTGGGCTGGGGAGCTGAGGCGAGGTCCTCCAGTAGAGAGGTAGAACTTGGTGCGGTGGCATTTTTCGAGACGTGTTTCTTGGGCTGGGGTTCAGGCTAGGTCCTCCCAGTTGGCCGAGGTCGGAAAAAGTTGGTACCGTTGCTTTTTTCAGTTTTGTCGAAATTTTAGTAGGGGAACCCTCCCAACCAAAAAAGGGGAGAGGAGAAAGGGCACTACTGGGGGACCTAGCAGGGGAAACCAAAGGGAAGCCACAAGGGAAGACACCTTTGGGTCTGTGGGTCAAAAATAGGTACCCGTTTTGGGAACCACGGTAAATGGAGCCAAAAACTAAAACCAGAAGTTTCTGGCCATGGGTCAAAATCCAAATCGAACCAGTGAACATCCCAATCCCCCACTAAAATAGTCCAAAATGGGTGGTGCACCTACCCCCAAATGGTACCATTGGTTTTGACCTACAGCCATCTGTGTGTGTGCCCGTTTTGGGAACCCTGGTAAATGGAGCCAAAGACTAAACCCGCACTGCGGTTCTCTGGTGGCTTAATTTTGACCCGTACGAATCTGTGTCTGTATGTATTCTTGGAGGACGCCTTTCTTTGTTGGGGGGAGGGTTAGGATAGGTCATGATTGGAAGTTCGGATGTTTTCGGGGGCATCATCTAGCTTGGCTTCCAAGGGGAAGTAGGTAACAAAGATTCCCTTGTGACCAGTTCAAGGGGAAAACAATGTGGAACCCAACCTTTTGGAGAGGTCCCGCGCTTTGACAGATCTCCAGATATTACATCAAACACGCATACAAGCGAGCAAGACACAATGACACGCTAGAATCACGACAAGACACGAAATACCTAAGCCGAGCTCAGAAGCTATTGATGCTGACTTCTGGTCAGTACAAACGTGGCCATACTATATTTTGAACATTTCCTGAAAGGAAAAGGCGCCTCATCTCTTTGCACGCTGGTGCTCAGTAGGGAATGTGGAAATGAACCCAGGCTAGGTCCGCCAGTAGAGAGGATAGAATAAGGATACTTTTTTTTTCTGTAGTCTATTTCAGTAGGGGAACCTTCCCCCAAAAACGGGTAAAAGGGCACTACTGGGGGACCTAGCAGGCTCTGGTCCCTTTCCCAAGAGGCATCTCTCGAAGCCACCGATCGCAAGTCTCCATGCCATGCACCGATCGCCTCCAACTGCCTCTTCAGGCTGGAGCTTTGCAAGTCGGCCACCTGCGAATCCGCTGCAAGCGAATACGTGGCGGGCCCTTTTGCTATGAACACTCATGCGCTTGGCGTTTGGTTTCCTCGGTTGCTTTCTGCTCCCCTGCTAAAAGTGAATAACGTTTAGTGGTTTAACGGAAAACCCATTAGTTGGCAAAAAGTTATTCAGTCCTAACATCCCTTGGCAAAATGCACCAAAGTTTCTTGTTGACTCCTTACCAGCCCGAAAGGAATTAATTCTCCGGGCCCGAAATTTAAGCTAAAGCGTATGTGGCAAGATCAGCACCGCCATGGGAGAAATGGTTGGAATTTGTTGCGACCCACGGAGAATTGTCGCATGCCCGTCTCCATGCCCCACAGAGCGGACAGCGACGCGTCACCTGTCTCGCTTGCGTGCCACTGTGACGCAGAAAGAGACTGAGTCCCTAGATTCAACCACTCTACAATCGGGTGCTCTCAACAAACACATTCTCATCTGCACTTTGTAGCAGAAAACGCGAACATGCCAGAAAAATCCGGGACCCCAAACTGCTTGGGCTTCGTTTCGGCTTAAAATTGGTCCCCTTGCGCCCAAAACCACGTGATTTGGCCTCCTTCTCTTGCCGCGAGTGCTGCAGACCTAAGCAAAAGCGAGATGCCAAGGATCAGCTTCCCCTGAATTGGTTTGGATTCTCGGTTGCTTTCTGCTCCCCTGCTAAAGGTTTAACTTTTAGTGGTTTAATGGAAAACCCATTAGTTGGCAAAAACTTAAAGTCAACATCCAAGCAAAATGCAACAAAGGATTGGTGGTGTGGGATTACCCCAGCTCCTTTTGAAACCAACCGGAGAAGGGTCCAATCCATTGGTGAATTCATAGGGTGTCCCTGACATGTGAGGAATTAGATCACTTTTGGAGGGGCCAAAAACCACCCCCCTATTAATAAACTGGGGTTGATTAATATGGGGCCAACATTCTCCAAGTGAAGATAGGGACCGGCACCGAAAAACAACACATATGCGCTGCTGCTGATTGAGCATACCCCGCAGGGCATCGCACACGTGCTTTATGAATTAAAATGGGCTGACACTGTTTCAATAGATAGTAGGGGCTGACATGAATTTGGAAGGTGTGGGTGCCAGCCTAACGCGTTTAACAGCCAAACAAAGGCTTTAGAAAAACCAACCCCGGAAGCCCAACTGGCACACCACACACCTCAGACTTCACGATTTCGCCCAGAGCAACACACGGAAAGGCTCCTTGTCCCAACTTGTCCCAGGTCTTGCCAAGTCTTGGACTCATCATTCGTGACGCCAATGCGTTGGGCCCTTAATTGGGGCAAAAGCTTTCCTGGCTAGGCCAGTTCCGTGTCCGCAACTTTGGCACTTGAAATGGAAGATATGTGAGGGAAACCGCCCCGACCTTTAAAATATTGAAGGCTGGTCTCCGGTTCCAGGAGTGCCCGCAGAAACGGGTGGCTTTCCTTTTGCAGCCCAAAACAAGTTACCCATTCAGCTGGCGAACCAGACAATTCTGGGCCAAGCAAAGCCCGACTTGGCCTTCTGGTGCTCGAAATCCGGGCCCAAGGCTGCTCATGGCTTGTTGCCACTCCTGCCTCGCCTGGCAATCCGCAATCGTAGGACGACTTCCGCGGCTTACAAGATATCTTGTATGACAAAGGACCGCTCAGACTTACAGGTAACATAACTCTATTTTGTCTCTTAGCCGTTCGGAACAACGTCTGAGTTCAAGCACGTGGTCAAAAGGATGAGTCACTTTGTCATGCTGGCTGGGCAATGGAAAGACATGTTAAGTCCATCAAAACCTCACTTGACTTGTGCCCAAAGAATCCGGAACCAGACAAAAAATGCCTTGGGCTGCGCAACCTGGGAGCCGAAACCTCCGAGTCTGAGAGCCGGAAGGTCTCCAAAGGGTCAAACGGATTGATTTTGAGCAAGTAAATGATAGGGTGCTCTTTGGTACGCAACCAGATTTGGAAGCCCCAAATGCTACCGCTGACCGGAAAAAGAAGGTACTAGCTTCCTGGAATGATTGGCCAACCCGATGCCACACACCTTTGTTTTACGGCAAACACGATGTTCCCCAAACACTTACAACCCCAAAAACCGGGAGATAACATGTTGAGAAACACATGAGAGCAACTTGACAAGCTAGCAAATCATGACCGAACAAGGTAAAGCACAACACATACTACTGAAAACCCTGCGCCAATTGGAATAAAAAAAACCTATGAATACTGGTCGACAAACACCTTCCCAACGAATGCGAAATTAATTTTATCCATCTCCTTATAGAACCGTAAGGAGCCCCAAACGGTCATTCCCACAAGCCCAAGCGGCGATTCCCTCGGACTGGGCTGGACTCAGATATCCTGCAGCAAGCAGTCAAGGAAAAATGGAGGCAACCCAAAAAGGGCGAAACATTCAGAATGCTAAGCTTCGTCCTGCCCCGCCCCTCCCAAAAGTGGACGGGAACGCGCTGGCGGTCTGAGGAAAGCAACCAGAAGAACGCCGGAACTGGCGCCCAGCCCCGGCCTGCAGGTGCTCCTCCTCGAGGCCTCAGCGTGCGGATTGCTTGAATGGCCCTCTTGTTTTTTGTGCGGGGAGAAACACGAATTTCAAGAACGATCCAAGAACAAGTTGTAGAGACATGTGTCATAATAGGCGTCAGGGGGAGGGGTGCCCTCTCAACAACCATGGAAGTGAACAAAGGGGCTCCGCAAAAGGAAAGTGGTCTCTCATACAACTGGGCTGCCCCTCAGATCCCCCGCTAAAAGTGACTAACTTTGAGTGGGTTAAATACGAAAAAGCTGAAAGTCTAAGGAACCGGATGGCTGGGAGCCACCAAGCAATGTGTACATACAAATTACATTTGGACACGCGCGCGTACATACGCATATGTAATATAGTCATGTGTGTACATTATGTGAACATAGCTTGATGCGGGTTCATGTTTTGCGGGGGAGCCTGCCGACCAACTGCCCACCTTCCCGCGCTGCATGATTTTGGCGGCTCATATATTTTGTGAACAATTTTTCCGGACTTTGTTAACGCGTCACATGTGATCGGCCTTGCGGCGGAACGCTCCCGCCACATGCCCCAGATGCACATAACGCCCGCCACGTGGCAAAGAAAACAACTGTAGCGCCGTTGCAGCGAGAGTCCATGAGTTCGTCCGTCCGCCGCAAACACACCAAATGCTAAGAATGCCGGAAACCCGGCGCCTTTGCTACAACCCTGTAGCACGAGGTCTCTGTCCTGGGAAACGAGGAGCCAAGGGTTGGTAAGAGAGTCCACGGGCCCATGACCTGACCCGCGGCGCACCCTGCAGTTGACGCGCAACAGCAATGAAGTAGCCTCCCGTCCCAAGTGAAGCGATCCTTCATGTGAGGCTGCAGGCAGTTTAGGTATTGGCAGCACAAACTCCTTGACGAATCCCACGTCAGCCAACACGAGTTTCCGTCAGACAGTTGTAATTACGTGCTGTAAAGTGAATTGGCCCACACCTTGGAGTCAAGCCTTGGCTGAATGATGCTTCCTGCAGCACTGTTCGTGCACAACCGCAACATTGTGAAGCACCTGACCCTCCCCAGCACAAGAAAAACCAACACCGTGATCTTCCCGGCGACTGTCCTCAAGTGAGATCAACCAACCAAACCCACCAAAAAGCTCGAAAACCTAAGGAACCGGCTGGCTAAAAGACAAAACAACACAAAACAATTGAGACATCTTCATGCAAGCCTCTCCCCACCCCCCACAACTTCCCTCCCAACCCCCCCCCCCCCCCGCCCAACTGGCCAACTGGGAAATCGGAATTTTCGAGGCGGCTGTGGGTCAAAACTATGTACCCAAAATGAGTTACCCTGGTAAGTGGAAACATGGACCAAAACCTGCGGCCCCCCCCCCTGCGGCCCTTCCCCCCTCCCCACCCTCCCCACCCTCCCCACCCCCACCCTCCCCACCCCCACCCCCCCACCCCCCTGCCGCCCTTCCCTCCCCACCGAGGCCGCCGGCTCTGAAGCTCGGCGCGCAGGGCGTCCCGCTGCTCGGCCAGGCGCTGCACCGCCGCCTCCGCCTGCTGCGCCTCGCTCCCAAAGCTCCGGGGCTACGGTCCGGCGCTCCGAAGGGGCGGTCGCTGGGTGAAGGAGCCAAAAAGGCGAGGGTCTCAGAATTTCAGGTAAGCCAAAGGAATGAGGTTTCAAGGAAGCCACAGGGAATGAGGTTTCAGGTACGCCCAAGGGAATGACATGAATGTGTGTTCGGAGGTTTGAGGAAATACCTGGAAGGTCGTCAAGCTGCTTGCGGCCTCAAAGAACACAGCTGACGTGATATGCTCAACCCTTGAAAGTGAAGAGTGCACTTGGGGCAAAAGCGAAGTACTTCTTGGGCCTTGTGAAAGGAATGATCAAATTCCACTGAGTCAAGCCACTAACCCTCCCTCAACCCTCCGCCCACCGCACCGAGCCCTAGTTCATTCCTTCCCTTCCCTCTTTCGACCTCCGGAACTCACGATCGCTGGATTCCCATTGCGACTGGATTTCTTCGAAAACGGTGGACTCCGGTGGTAGTTTAAGGGAAACCCAAACTTGCTGGTTCTCAGCAGGGTATGAGGGAATGACCTTTACAAAACCATGCCCTATGGATTCCTTCAAGGAAAACTCTAGGTTCATTTCCAAAACCCGGAAGGTCATTCCCTACCTATCGCAACAGCAAGAAAAGGAAAGCAACTCTTCCAGCTCTCACTTCCTGAGTGGATTGGCCAGAAAAGGTCAAACTTGCTTTTTACCACGAAAACGGTCTTCCCAAAAAAGTTACTAAAGTCCATGAACTCAGGAAGTGAGGGCTTGGAGAACACCAAAATCTCCCCCCCCCCCCCGCTGGCTCCCCAAGGCCTGCTGCTCCAATTGCTGCGGGTCGACCGAGGCCGCTTGAAGCTCCTCCGAGGGACCCTTGGAACCGCTTTAAAACTGAAATGGCTGTGGGACAAAAATAGGCTAAACCCACAATGGGTTGCCCTGGTAAATGGAAACATGGACTAAAAATCCTGCGGCTTTCTGGCGGTTTAATTCTGACGTCTGACCCACAATGATTTGGGGAAGGTGTCCTGGAACTTGGGAGCCTGGAAGGCTCAAACCTATCTTCCAATGGATGACATCTCTATAGGCGGGACCGCGGCCCCTTTTGCAAACCGACCTTGCCAATGTGTTTTTTTTTTTTTTCTTTTCCGGGCATGGCCCTCATTCCGAAATGGAGCCCAATGCTGGGGGAGGAGCAAGCACCCACATTCTAGCAGTTGAACCACTTGGGCCACTTCCATCGAGTCGAGGAGGGCTTTGGCTTGGGCAGCTGAGCATTCGACATGCCGATTTTGTTTCCTGAGGCCGCCAAACGTGAGATCCCAAGAAATATTGGGAGATGAGAAGAGACACTTGATTGGTATTGCTTACAAGGCGTTCTGCTTCAGCAGTTGGCATATAAGCTGTAGTCCCATGGCACGTAGCTCTTGCACGAGTCAGGCCAAGGATTTGCATGCGGCAACTCTCAGGATATGTCTCAGTGCTGATCACAAATTATCGTATGGAACCCCAGTTCAATCCTAAGCTGCCCGACAAACACGGAGACCACCAGAGGGTCCTTTTCGAGGAACATAGACTGACAGGACCTCGCATTCAAGTTCCGTGTTGGTCGGAGGATAGGTAATTGAACTGACAAGCAAAACACCACCACAGACACTGCGGACAAGGCAAACCGCACGCCAACTAGCATGCTGAGTGGGAAAGAAACAACCGGTCTCGGAGTTGACGTTTTGCATTTCAGCTGAAACCAGTGCCCAAGTGGAGGTGAAATCTGACCTGGAAGCGAATCAGCCAACACCTCGTTCCAATGCATGTTCATGAGCATTTGTGAGAGTGCGCATTAAAGTAGCTTTGAATATTGAAGGCTCGGCAGTACAGCTTGCGGCAGTCGGGCTGCCGTGTCTGCAAAGTCTGCTCAATAGAGCAAGCCATACCTTTAAACGGGCCAGGCACGCTGACATACACCCGACCCAGCCAGCAAATGTCACGGAAAGGACGGTTATTGTGCATGTGATGCCAAAATATGCCAAAAAATGGACCGCCTTTTCGGCTGACGCTAAGGACAGCCAAATATACCAAAAAAGGGGGTTGCTCCATGTCCCGGATAATTTATCTGGGCAAAAGGAAGCCAACAGGGCAACGGCCGGCCCGGCCTGATTCAATTCCGCCCCCCGCGCTTTGAGGCGGCCGGCCTCAGCCTTGGAGCGGATCTGGTAGGATTGGCAGTGGATCCCCAAGTAAAGGATCCCACAATGGTGAGCTCGTTTTTTCCCAGGTGAGCTCGTTTGCGCAAAATAGGCAGATGATGGATTGCTTCACATTTAGTCTATGTGTATCCTTCAATGTTCTCCTGGCTGAGAGTTCCGACCGAACCCAAGCCACCGCCAATTCGAGCGCTTGCTGGCACTCCAACTCCGACCGGAGAATTTGGGTGTGGGTCAAAAATAGGTACCCCAAATGGAAGCCTGGTAAATGTAAACAAGGACTAAATCTGCGGTCTCCTGGTGTTTCAATTTTGACCCATTCCCATTTGAGTGATCTACTGAAGTCCCCAACCAGAAAGCTGACCTTGGACGAAGATTTTTTTGCCGAAGGGCGTCGAAGTTCCTCTTGCTGAGTCGATTTGTTTTTATGATGAAACCCTAAACAACAGGGCCAATCCCTAAAAATTGAGGGTCAAATAGGCTGCAGGCAAGGCAGTCTTGTTTCCTTTGAGACTCAAAGACATTCCTTGCTATCACCACGACCTAATATCATGCAAGTTGCCACCTGAACTCAGTCAGCGGGCCAAACGCCATTTCAGTGCTTGCTTGCTTCTTGGAAACAACCAGCAAATTTGCGTGCGGGAACCCGAAGCAACTAGCAATACGTCCAGGCAAAAAGATGGCAGTTTTGAAGCCGCTCCCACCTCTCCCGGATGCCTTGAGCCTGTCCATCTCTTTGGCAGCACCTTCATGCCTCAGCCATTGTTTCTTGCACAACGCTGGCGGAAGCATTGCGGTGCCATTGTTTGAGGCTAGTCGTTTTGGAGTGGTTTCAAGGGGGGACAAGCCGACACCCGTGTCACACCGTTGCACAGGTCGAAGGCTCATGCGCTGTTGGACAAAAGTGCGTCGCGCGTTCCGCCGCGCCAATTGGCGCTGATCGAGGCGGAAACACGTCTGCCAAGGCGTGCTCAAGCAAGACTTGTGAAGAGAATGTGGTCAAATAACATCTTCACGAGAATGATTGGGCCCCCAAACCCCTGTCGCGCGGCCAAAATCCCTGCTCCAGCTGCCTCCAGTTCACCTGAAGCGAGTCTGGAAGCCCAGGGTTGGACAAACCGACCACAAATCCAACTCCCGCTAGAAACCGGCCAAATTCCCCCTTTCAAAGCTGGTCCAATTCCGGTCAGATCCCGATAGAAACCGGGCAGAATCCCCTTAAAAACGGTCCCCCCAAAACTGTATAAAAACCTGCCACATCCCCTCTAAACACAACTCCAGTCAAATCCCCCCAGAAACTAGCAAAATTCCCCCCCTCAGAAACCAGTCAAACACCCATGAAATTTGCACCCCCGCTTGGCCCTAGCTCCTCGCGGTTGAAGCCATGTGGAAATACGCGGACATGCACCTACCCTCTAGCTTGGAAACCAGCTCATGCATTTCGGCGCCGACTCACCCACTCTAATAAACAGACTTTAAGCCAAACTAAAGCATGGTATATGCCTCAAAGCCAGCCACAAGCGGACTGGCCGAGGCGGGCAACGCGAAGCGTGTACAATAATCTCACGAGAATCGTATATCGTTTCACTTACCTCTTTTCACTAATTGTGACTTTCTCGCATGAGGCTCAGATTGGGCATGCGCCTTTCCGTGGCTGGCTTTCGCAAAAGGCCATCCTCCCGGCCATAATTTGTTCGAGGTGTGCATTTTGCCAAACAGGATTGATCTGCTCCCAAGGCCTGTTGCAGTCCATAGTTCACACCCATTTGTGTTGCTAAAAGCAGAGGGAATATAACATCGAATGTCAACTTTCTCGCATGTGGCATGCTGTCACATGTACGTTCCTCGGATGCTTTATGTTGGATGTCTCTGGTCTCCTTGTTGTTTCCTTGTTTACTTGAACTCTGCCCCCCGCCAGCTAGCACCCACAAACCACTACGTAAAATGAGCTTCCAAGAACTTCCAAGGGTCATTGATGAAAATTGGGCAGCGTCCAATTGATGCATCAGCGTGCAGGTCCGAATGGACTACGCCGCTTCCACAAACACTCGGAGCTGCAACTGGCCTTCCGACGCGGGAAGCATCTTTTTGACCCTTCCTTTGTTGATGAAAATGAAGGAGGCCCCTACAAGTGTAGACGCCCTCGTTGGAAGGGCTTCCAATGATTTCCTGCAAGGTCACAAGGTCAGCCCTGTTCCGACCCCCGCAGACTCCGAAGAGATGCTTGGCTCTGCACCTGACTAATCAACCCCAGTTTATCAATAGGGGGGAGTCCCTAGTGGGGAATCAGACCTATGGAGGGGCCAAAAACCACACCCCCTACTAACAAACAGGTTGGTTAATTTTTCTATGGGGAAATACTGGAACTCCCCAAGCATCTTTGGACATACTGTCCAGATTCATGTGGAACTAAAAAGATTCTGCCTATGCTGCACCTTCCAAAGCCTCCACATGCGCTTCGCTGGGCTCGCCGCCCTTCCTCTGCTTGCAACTGCAGGGCCTCGAATCGAAGCGGATGCGCTGGAGTCTGGATTCCGGGGTCCGTAAGTCCACCATGCGAGTTCCCTTCACACCCCCACAAAAGCCGATCGCTCGCGAGCAAAAAGGTCCGATAAATGAAGATGCGTTTGTGGCTTCACTGCTTTTGTAGGGAAAAGAAAGGATTTCAGACTTGAGACAACGCGACATATCTGCATGCCTACAGGGGAAGTTGATATTTACAATAAATAGGCCTAGGATTTGGGCAGGCCGAGCACGGTGAACCTCACCCTGGATCTTACCAAGCTGACTGAAATTGAGATTCTTTTTAGGGGGGTCTTTTTGCAACCTTTTGTGAGAAAATGGGCGACCCCCTCAAAAAGGAATCCTTCACTAATTACGAGGGGGTCGATTATTTTTCCACAAAAGCTGGCATAAATGACCACCTTGGATTCACCATGATTCAACCAAGGTCTGATCTTCCAACACCTGAAGAGCTGAAACATGGCGACCTTTGGATCATGACTTTCGATATGTCTAAACTCACCACATGTTTCGAACTTGCGCAAAACGGAAGGGGATCACCTCACTGCTTCATGACACGCCAGCAAGACTTCTTGAGATTTCTTGCGGGACACTCGTGACTCCTTCCGGGATAGGGGTTTCGTCCATCCACCGTTTGCCGCGGCGAGTTTTTGATGTCACCCTGAAACCAGCAGCCAGCCACTTCAAGCCACCTTGATGCTTCGCCGGGATGTCTCACATCCAGAGGCTTCCTCGAAACAGACAACTTTGGGAAAGCCCGACAAACCGGAAGTGATGGATTTCCAGTTGGGTGGAAGATGGTTTTCGATCTCCCCATTTAGTTTTCGTCACGAAGGCAACGTTGCCTTCAAATCCATGCCAGTGTTGATGGGCAAGCATGCGCCCGTGATCAACGCTGCGGGCCTCAAACTTCGTAGCAGGCAAGCTTGTGTCCACCAAGCAGCTTCGCTTGAGCAAGTGAGCCATGGTCAGAATTCCTTCTATGGCCTATGGTCGTGGTTCTCTCAGTAGGCATCATTCTTACCACCAGGCGGATGCCCAACCGTAAGGGACCGGTCTTTTGACCATGGCACATGTACATAGTCGCCCCGGCGAAGCCACGTGAGTCACAATCAAAACCCGGTACAAAAATGGTCGACCCAGAACCATGCTTCAAGAACGAAGAAGCCGGATATCCGCAGCTATTTATGGTTGGGATCGTCCCAACCTTCACTTACCCGAAACGGTTTTGAGCAAGTGGCTCACGTATGAAAACGAAAACCAACCCCACCCAACAAAAAACGAACAAACTGCAGGCCACTCGCTGGCGTCTTCGGGCGACTGGCGCCCCGGCGCGGTCGCGGAGCTTCGTCTGCTGCTGCTTGATGCCATCGAGCTCCGCGGAGAGGGCGCCGCGCGTGGCCTGCGATTAAAAAAAGACGCGACAATCCTGCGAGCCGGGTGTATACGGTATATGCTATTGCAGGATAGTGCATTGCTCGATTCATATCACTTCTATCAAACCCTCCAGGCAGCATACCCTCATATTTACTCTTGCTTTCTGCAGGCAACTGATTTATGGACGTGGCCTTGGAGGCTGACCCCAAACAGGAATCCATGCATGTCCATGTGCACCCCACAGGATTTACATCTTCACTTTGTATTTCGTTTGGCCACTGGCTGGTGCTTGGGCGGTTCGGAAGGAAAGCAGCCAGCTGATTGACGCGCATGTTTTTTTTTCCCCAAGCAGATAATGGATTCTATGCATAGTCAGCAAAAAGGACCATTCACAGATTTGAAAAAAAACGGAATTAACATGGTGATATCATTCTTCAGCTCAATTCAGCTGATCGTTGTCCGCCAATGTCCAAGCTTGAAACTAAATGGGATTGCCATCGGGCCTTTGATGTTTTCCCTGAACAACAAAGGCATGTCCCCCAAACATGTGGGACTTTGGTTCTGAGAGAAGCCGAGGGGGGCCAGCCATGTTCAACGGCACCAGCCAAACTCCAAACTGGGGCCCCAAATCTCCCATTCCGCCGAAGAAAAAACACCTGGGCTCGCCCGCCGAGAGGTCGGAGGATGCCATGGTGCGCTTGCTCTGCACCTCTCGCGAAAACGGAACTCGACTCTGGACTGGGCTGCCCTCAGATCCGACGCTAAAAGTTCAACTTTTAGTGGGTTAAATGACAACTATCACTAAACACTAAAAGGCTAACAAGCCAAGGGGATGGCTGGGAGCCACCACGTGGATCTGTAGGTGTTCATTTTTCTGGACTGGTAGCCTCATGGTTGTTGACACAGGGTGGCAGGTTTCTTCTGTCCTTGGATCTGTAGGTGTTCATGTTTCAGGACTGTGACCCTCTCGGTCCCCAGTGTTGACACAGGTGACCCAGGTTTCTCCTGCGGTCCAAAAACAACGGCCTCCACTCCTTGTTCATGCCTTCACTCACTGGCTGAGTGGATGGTCCACAAAAAGTCCAAACTTTATTTACCACTAAAATGGTCTTCCAAAAAAGTTTAAAGTTCATGAACTCAGGAAGTCAGTTCATGCCATGGAAATGGCCATTTCTGCCGCCCAGCATCCCAACTGCGGGACGGACCACAGGAGCCCAATGTAGAAGGCCCGTGAGGGACTTTGGGGCCGCTGCTTCGTGCATGGGGCGTGTCTCTGAGAACCGGAAGGTGGGGATTTTTGACCAAACCTCTCGGAGTTGCAACTTCCCACCTTTCCTTCACTCCCCACATATTGCAAATTGAGCGGCCACGCGTGCAATCACCAAGGCTGGAACCGCACGGCCAGGAGAATAACAGCTGACTTATGAGGGTGCCTCAAACCCACCCTGAGCATGGACGAAGGACTGATTGAAGCGGCGCAAGCTGCAGGACTCTGGGGCCACTAAAGTGATATCCTCAAAATGCTCCGCGCAATTGTGGTTGACGCGAAACCGGTCCGAAAACACATTTTGAGCAACTCACAACATGGTGCCTTTGAGAGGGCTCACCGGACGTTCTTTCCAAAAGCTGATAAATTTACTGGCATCCCATAGAGATGCCACTTTTGGTGACACCCCTTTTGGATGTGCTTCAAAGGGAAACCATCAGGTAAACCGAATCCTCTTTTCTTTTGGGGGAACCTTAAGAAAGACGATTCAAGTCCACCAATCATTTCGGAGGTTTCCTCTATCAAAATGTGTTGCAGCCAAGAATCCTCAAAAACCATTACCCTAGATGAAGGAGAAAAACCGAGCCTGGCGGGGGGAGTCCTGGACTCGTAAAGACACACTCAAAGGTTTCGCTTAGCTCTGGCCTCCCGCTGTCGCTTGGTGATCTCCACCTTTCGTTGAGGAACGGGGGGGGGCGCGCGCGCGCGTCTGCTTCTGGAGGCTTTTGTTTGAAGCCTTTGGGATGTCTCGTCAAAAAGGTGGAGACAGTTTTGGTTGGTAAAGCGAAGCCAAAAGGAGCCCAATCATGTTAGGGTGGCCAAAAACGTCCACAACAAACAACAAAGGCAGGCACCGGCTGCATGACAAGTTGTCAGAAGCTTAGACCTATCCAAAGGCGGTATTGAATGCTGCTGGAAGGAGGCAGCAGCATGCTCCGCGGGCTTCAACAGGATTGCTCGGTCGCGAAATCTGCGCCCCTTCTAAAAGTTGTTCGCTTTTAGTGGTTTAATGCGGAAAACCCCTTAGTTGACAAAAAGCTATTCAGTCCTAACATCCCTTGGCAAAATGCACCCTGATTGACTTGGCAGATGCTTGGCTCCCAAAGGCACATAGTTGCTTGAACCGTTTTTCACGACTGGCACTATTGCGGAATTTTCGTCCAGGGTAACAGGACGTGGTCCTACAATTGCGGACCCCACAGCGAACCAAAAGGAACCAAATCATCTTCAGAGTTTTCAACGTCGGAAAACATCCAACTGAAGGTTTAAATCAACAAGGGCACAAATCCGCGCCAAAAGCCACCGGGGCCTGGCTTCTCAACTGTCTGCAGTACTCACATGCTTGGCGATCATGGAACTTGGCCCCAAAACAAGCAGGGCTGACCGGCCCCGAGCATCGGCGTGTGGCAAGGTAAGCAATCCCACAATGGTCGGGAAAAATGCAGGCCAGAACAAACAACGGGTAGGTGTGCCATGGTGTGCCAAATACAAGGCAGGCCAGGAGGCTGGCATGGTTTCTACGATGGCTTCTCTAATTGATGTTTGCTGGAAGGAACGGCCGCGGGCAAACAAAACACCCTTACGCAGCGTCACACGCACAAAGGATACCACATGATGGTAGCTATGTTTGTTTTCTGTGCAAGCTCCGGGTGAACAAAGGAATTCGACCGGAAAGCTGGAAAATGGTCATAGCCCCACTGCAATCGGGCGAAATGGTCCACGTGGGCAAAATGCTACATGTCCACCCGGGCAACTCAATGTAGGGCGTGCGTTGGCTCCAAATGGTTCTAATACCCGGCACAAAGTAACTAAGTAAGATTTGTTGAATGACAAAGTGCAAAAAATGTGGTCAACCATCAAGCCAACCAAAGCTTCGCTCAGTAAACAATCGACGGGGTTCTCCTTTGAATCATAATCAAAATCCGGTATAGAAATGGTCGTAATCCCAGAACCATGCTTCAAGAATTAAGAGGCCGGATATCCGCAGCCATTTCTGGCAAGGGGATTGTCCCGAATCGGTTTTGAGCACGTGGCACACGTGTGAAATTTTCCACTTTCACCGCCGGCCTCGGTGCCGGAGATCCGGCTCCTCATCTCCTGCAAGGCCTGAGACATCGGCTTCTTCGCGCCGCAAGAGGCAGGCGCTTTTTCCACAGGGTTGAAAGGCGAAATGGCTGTGGCTCAAAAAACCGGAATTCCAAAATGGCTTGCCCTGGAAAGTGGAAAGAAACATGGACCAAATTCTGCGTAACCCCTCCTGTTGAATTTTGAGCCACACCCAAATCAACTGCAACAAAACCAGAAGGAATGGACACGAATGCCTACATTTGCAGTTGAGCTCTGCCACGGGGAATGATGGAAAAGGCATTCCGACATTCCAAACCAGCAAACATGGCCAAATGCCGTAAGTTGGCAGGGGCGGCGCGGTCCCGTTGCTTATGACAAAAACGTCCAACGAAACTCAAAGACTGCAATCTTTCGACTGATGAACAAAACTAGGCAACCTGCAGCAAACACAAAGAATCTCAGAATTGCAAACAACTCTATCCCGAGGGGCGAACACACCTGTCATTGCTTTGCCTTTCATCGGAGGGGTGAGAAGGAACTTAATGTTCCTGCCGCGCCACACGGACTAGTGCCTGGCTGAATGGTGCCTGCTATGATGCGCCCACGACATCTACGCAGGAAAATCGACCAGGCCCAGATTCGGGAAAACACTGGCCCCATTATTCCACCATGATCAAAGTCACCCCCAAATGGTCGGTAAAGGGAAACAGCCCCATGTTCTAACTTCGATACCTCGCAGAATCAACCAAAATAATAGTCCCTGAAACATGCTCCCCTGCTAAAAGTTCTTAACTTTTAGTGGTTTCATGGAAAACCCATTAGTTGACAAACAGTTTTTCAGTCCTAACATCTCTTGGCCAAACCATAGGTGGCCTTTTGGAATAACTTCTCGGAGCTTCTTCTTCCCCCGGAAACCATCGATAACCCAGAATCGCCAACAGCGATATAAATCAACATGTCGCGGTCCGGAATCCTTGGAGCAGCGATGACCTTGAGATAGGGCTCCGTGATGGTGAGCAAAGGCGACAGGATCTGCACGTAGTGCGGCTGATCCTGGATCCACGTGTGGATCAAGGATTGAGACCATGTTGTCTCCAGCAAACCTTTCACCGTCGCCGCCAAGTTGCTGTCGTACTTGGCGTTTGTGCACACTGCCGTTGTCGCTGGGTTCTCCATCCATCGCCTCCGTGCTGGATCGCAATCCCTCGCGGGCTCGCGGGATGATGGGTTTCCCTGGCAAATGGAAGAAACCCCACCTAAACCAGTGGAACCCATCTATTTTTCATCAAACTCACAGATCAAAATGACGCCTATGCCTCAAACATGCGTGACAGAACTGGGCTGCTTACTTTTACTGGGTTAAATGGAAACTGCCACTAAACACTCTCAAAGTCTACAAAGCTAAGGAACCGGATGGCTGGGAGCCACCAAGAGAATCTTAGAACTGGTCGCGTCTTCCATTTGCTTTGCTTAAGCCCCCGGGGGAAAAACATATTTCCAGTAGTGAAATTGATTCCCTTTTAAAACCACAGGGGAAAATAAGAAACATACTCATTTCAGCAAATGGAAGTTGTGTCTTCTCGGCTCGTCTTCTTTTCCGGCAACACCTCGGGCGTGTCTGGAAGTGCTCAGCGCTCCGCCCTGTCGGCCGCCTCCATGATGCTGTTGGCGGCCGCCTGGGCTGGGATTCGAATCCCAGCAAAACAACGGGCACTAGGTTCAACGAGGTCCAACAAGCTGCCCTGTATTGCGGGTGAAAAAGGAAACCAACCAAGAAAGGACAAGGCCCATTTTGAGGGCTCCTTATCGCTTCCCGATGGGCCAAAACAAGTCCAACAACTTGTTGATTTGCCACACAAACTGGTCTTCCCAAAAAGCTCAAAGGCCAGCAACTCAGGCAGTGAGCAGTTGTCTTTAAAGGGAAAACCCCCCCTCAACAAAAAAACAAAGAAAAGCAGACAGCGCCACCGGAGGTCTGGGTTCTGGAGGTGCAGTTGGACAACTTGCCCTCTTTTCACAGAGTAAATATTGCCCTTCCCAGTAATTCAGAGGGCGGGTGATCTCGGATCGGACTACCTGTCTAGTTTCCCCAATTCTGACACATAACCGTTGCAACCAACAACAAATTGAGCTGCGTTGTCTAGCTGACATCCAACTGTGCCTCTTTGCAAACACCACTCTGCCTCTTTGTTCACAAACAGGACATCGCTTGCTTCAGGCATCGCACATCAAGCCCATGCTTGTCTCAAAACGAGGGGAACTCTGAAAATGGTTGCTTCCCCCTAAATTCCCGTTTAACCAGCCCCAAAAGGCTACCATCAAGAGACAAACATGCACACAAACATTATTGAATGTGTAGAAAGGGGCAGCCTTTCCACAGAATGCCTTCTGAACAAGCAATCGGTCTGCAGCTCATGCTCTTCTTCGCATTGCGGTTTGCCAGACACTCAACTCTGATTTCTCAGCACTGGATAATTGAGAACCGACATCGGTTGAACATGAACACCTGCCAGTGCTCTACCTGCCAGTGCTTGCGAGAACGCACTCAGGGAATTCGCAAACTCAAATAAACGCGGCAATAGCACATTTTGAAACATTTTTGTGTACCATTACCTTTTTGTGATACCAATATGGGTCATTCCCATGACGGTGTTATTCCCTTGAAGGGGCTTCCCCTGGTCTCACAAAAGATTCGCCTAGAACCCAATTTTCCACGACGATGCCGTGAAACTTCCAACTTCTGTGGGTGAGCGTGAACAGTGCACTTGGCAAAGTGTGCCCGGCCTTTTACCCCTGGTCAAAGTTCAGCCAGGTTGCACTCTGAAGCAAAGTGCAAAGGCTAGGTCCTCCAGTCGAGAGGTTAGAATAAGGGTACCCTTTTTTTCTGTAGTCTATTTTAGTAGGGCAACCCTCCCCCTAAAAGTTGGTAAAAGGGCACTACTGTGGCAAAGGGGTCCCTGCTTGTCAATCGACTATGCGCCTCCTGGTTTCAATTGGATGGACAGGCGTTTACACCCTGCAGCATCCTGGCCGGAAAAGAAGCGCCAGCACACACAATAGATGTAGTAAGGGTAACTAAGTCGACACAAATCATATGGGTGTGAATTTGAACGGGTTCCGGATTAATTGGTGGACATGAGAGTTCGGTGGGGATTCATGTCCATCAACTTTTGAGCCAATCCCCAAAAAAATCACGGCATTCCTCCCTGTGGTTTCCTGGTTTGATTCGGGCCACTGCGTCCTCTTCACTTCCATTTGCTTAAGCCCCCTGGAAAAAATCGAAAATATGTCCAGTCGTCATAGATTCCCTTTCAAACCAACAGGGGGAGAAAAACAAATATCAGCCGATGGAAGATAAGGAATGCTGAGGGTCAACTGCCTGGCCCTGAGGCCCGGGCCACTTGCTCCTCATGGGACTTCAGCACTGCGCTGTGTTGCTCCTGCCTGCCACTGGGCCAGCGCCCAACTCTTTCTCCCGAAAACCGGCAGACCCGGTTTTTTGGCCGTGTTCAACCACTCGGTGGCGAAATCTGCTCTAAAAGTAAATAACTTTTAGTGGATAAATAGAAAACCTAAGCGTTTTTCACTTTTAGTGGTTTGATACGGAAAACCCATTGGTTGACAAAAAGACAAAGTCCCAATTTTCCAAGCAAAATGCACCAAAGAAGGGAGCTCCAGCCAAAACACCGAAAAAAAACAGGGCGCGACCGGGCTGGGATCGTCCCAGGATGGGGGGTGAAACAAGGCAACTGGGCTGGCGATAGAGTGAGTTAGGTTTCTCAGCAACTCACACCCAGTAGCCAGGCCACGGGATCATGGGGTTGTTGTATAGCCACTTTTAAGATTCACCATGTTCAGGGAACAAGCCGCCAGCCCGGTCTTGCTAGGTTTCCCCAGGTGTACAAAGCATGAAATACTCAGTGAAAATGAACACAGAAGCCCAAAAAAAAAGAACCATTGCCCCAAATGCAGATTCCTCTCCTCTTGAGAACTCCACTGTCCCATTTAACTCGTGAGAGTGGGGACCTGCAAAAACATGCTCGTAGGCGTCGCCCGAAATTGGCTAAGCTTCTGGCCCTGGCCTGTCATACGCAAGAGCTAAGGGCTGCCCCGTCAGATTGGAAGCTCCTTTTCAATGATGTGGCCGTAGGTCAACACCAATGGGATCCCATTTTGGGTAGTGCACCACCCATTTTATTCTATTTTAGTGGGGATTGGGATGACGGGATTTTAACCCATAGCCGTGTGTAAAGGGACACTTGCAAGCAACGACTCAATTTCGGTTTTGGACACCGGCAAAATACGCACAACATGAAATGCAATGGAATGTCGTGTGTTGCACACGAAACGCTGCAGAAACCGCAAGCCTAGGTTTTACCCCAACATCAATTTCATCAATACTGTGGATGGACGAAATCCGTTCGCACCACCTACCACCTTAAGAAACCATGGTTGAAACTTGGGGAATCGAATCAGAACCTGTTGGGTTTCTGAACGGTGCGAAATGGACTTTGGTCAGTATCATACCGACGCGTATCATTCACACCCGCAAATTGCAACCTCTCCCCGGAATCCTTCCGGTTCTTCCATCCCCCAGGTGGATCTTCCCATCCCAGGTGGATCACCTTTTGTAGGTGTCATGGCAAAGCCAGTGGGCTTTCCAAGGTCAAGCGACAACACACCAGCTCTTCCTGTGCAAAAAAGTGGATCACCTTTGGTAGGCTTCATGGAAAATATGTTTGTTTTTCCTTTTTTTCCCTTTTCGAACAGGTCTAGGGACCTTTTGGGCACACCAAAGGCCAGCCATATGTGTCCACTTTCCTGTTACCCTATCACCCCTAGGCCTTCCAGTAGAGAGGTTAGAAATGGTTAGAACAAAGGTACCCTTTTTTCCATAGTCTTTAAAATTGGGAGCACCCCCAACAAAAGTGTAAAAGGGCATTACTGGGGGACCTAGTCAAGCGACTACACACCAAAGACCAGCCATGTTGTGTTTAGTTGTTTGTTTCCCTATTACCTTATCGAGCATCTGAGCACCCCTCTGAGCTCCAGACTCGGCGCGCCGCGCTTGGTATTCGGCCTGACAAATCAGCCCACAGTGGCTTGGCAGCAGCCCAAAAAACAAGTTCCGATCAAGAGGGCTGTGTATAGTCCCGAACTCCCGAACGTGTGTGCATATATATATATATGAGGGTTGTCCAATATTCCTTGCTCTAAAAAACGCCTTGCGCCTCGCCCTTCCGCGAACTTCCGCGATGGAGGTAAAACCACACGTTCTGATACGTGTCTGAACATAAGTAAGTTTCCGTAAAGTAAAAGTAAAGCAAGCCAAGAGGAAGGGCTAGTGCAGAAAGCAAGAAGTAGACTAGGAATGGAGCGAGGATGGGACGAAGAGCAGAACGAGCAAAAGGAAGGAGAAGGACAAGCAAACGTAGGAAGCGGAGCAGCAGAACACCGGAGAAAGAAAAGGAAGGAGGAACGTGGCAACAAGCGACAAGCTACGCTACGTAAAGAGACTAGCCACCCCCCACGCACCTTGACAGCCACAGTTGCGGGGGCTTCGTTTTGGTATCGTTTTGGGTATCGTTTTGAGCACTAGTACTCTGCTACAACTGCGGCGTCCCCGGGCGAGAGAATGAGCAGCTGGGAAACAGACACAAGCAACATTTCACGCTAAAACAAGAGACGGGTGGGCCAGCCCCGGCGCAAGGCGACAGCTGCAATTGTATGGGTTTCTATCGTTTGGAGCTCCGAATGTAATGCCGGAACGAAAAACAAATTTCGGACCGCGAATTGTTTTTCGCGCTTTTCTACAAACTCTGCCGCGGGAATCAGAAGGACCACCGAATATGATGCCAGACTCGGTAGCTCAGTTGGCCCCAGGCACTCCGCGGTATCGTTTCGGAATTGCGCAGGTATCGCCCGGGGTATCGTTTTCATCTCAGTACGAATCAACACATGAAGCACACTTTGACTTTGACAGCCCAGCTGAAACATCGCAGTTTCCAAGTACTAGCAGAGTACGAGCTGTCCCAGCTCAAGCAGCACAACTTTTAAGTACTCGTGTAGTACAAGAGTAAAGCTTCATCCCATGATAACACATAACCTTCCGCGAAACTTCCGCTCGCCCTTCCGCGGTCTTCCGCGACCACAGCGCTGTAACACCGAATATGCTTTCGTATTCAGTCCTTACAAAAATGCCATCGGGGGGGGGGGGTTGGTCGATCCTCATATATATATATATATATATATATATAACGTGCATGCATGCATCAAGCATGCATGTACTATGTAGCCGGGCCGGCCAATCAAAGACAGGCATGGCTTGCTAACTCAGCAGGAAACCTAGGACATCGGCTGGTTTCAAACACAGCAGCTTGAAACAATCACAGCACGTGCAAATACATACACATCAGAACTAGAACAAGGCTTCTGACGTTCCTCCCAAACAAATCGCCAAACCATATCTTTGTTGCACTAGGCAATGCAAAAAAGCCAGGCTTATCAGGAAGCTGGTGAACCAGTCAAACTTGATACGTGTGATACAAAGTGGAAAACAGTGTGACGCGGCCTTGACAAGAAGCACCCACAAAGAGAATCGTGTCGGTCTTATTCTTTCGTGCGTTTCGATGGAATTCACCAATCATGGATTCCCCATCCAGCAAAAAGACAAACGCACATGGGAATCTAGCTTGACACAGTCACCATTTGCCACCCGGCGCCTCCGTCTGTCGCATTGCATGCAGCTGCTGCTCCATCTGGTCCTGCATGGAACAACTGCAACCCCGTTTTGCATGTTGGAAGCAAAACAGGGATCCTTACAGTTTTCACCTGAACATTGTCTGGTAAAGGGTGGTTTCCCTTTATTTTGGTGGAAAAATCCATGTTTCAAATGGGCAAAATGTATCTTTTAAGGAGCCCTGCAAAACAAGAAGGGGAACCGCCCATTTCTAGTGCGCCCCCCTCCCAATTTTTGGATGCAGATGTGAACATCTTATTTGAGTGGCCTCGGGGCGGCACGACAACTGAGTCCAGCAACAAAAGCAGGACTCTGTCGTGTTTCTATTCGAAAGATCCAAGGAACGGCGCCACCAAAACAAGCTGGCGCTTGGGGGCTGAAGTCAGTCAAGTTTTGGCTGGAGCTGGGCCCCTTACGCTTGCGCTAGAGACGTCTCTCATTCGCTTAACTACTCGCCGAAAAGGAAAAGTAGGGTAGCTCTAGCCCAGTGTCTCCCACCCCATGGGCCCACAGCCGTGGATTTGCCATAGGCATTTGCGATCTAAGACCCTGGGATGGCCTTCGCATCCGCATCCTGGATGTCCATGGCCAAAAAAGGGCCATCTTTGTTTCTTGGTTGCTGTGGACCCCTCTGCAAACATGTTTTGTTAACTTGTTGTGGGTCCAATGTGAAGTGTTCTGGATATGCAGTGACCCCTGTTTTCCACCTCCCCCTTGTTTTTGCGCCCTTGAGTTTCCTTTTTGTCAGGTTGAACATACCAGGGCGTCTTTTTTTTGGCCGCTTCCCGTTTTAAGCGCACCTTGGCTGGATGCCAAGTCGTGTCCCAAACCCCTGGTGGCGCCGAATAAAACCACCGCGGGGGCGCGGCTTAAAGCCATGCCCGGCCAAAAAAGCGAAGCTGAACGGTGGATTCAAGGGCCCCCGCATAAACAACAAGTTTCAGGGGTTTTAAGGTGAACACGTCCCATTCTCTGAAAAGTGGGAGTGAATCAACGCACACCACCAGTAAATTGGTCAACTGTTTACAGAGTTTCACCCAAAAGTCCAAAGGTCCAAAGGTCCAACTGGCCAGAAATCTAGGGCTATCTTCCCCGTGTTCTTTCCAGGGATCCGAATCTTTTCAGGAAACCATCTAAAAAAACCCAGAAGAAACGGATTTGGTTTTGGAGAAAAGAACGATGGTTGAAAAGAATGGAACTGGAATCAACCCCTAGAATTCCATGTTAACTTTGATAACCCCAAAAAACCGTCAAAGCAGTGGCCCTAGACCATGAAAAAGATCTAGACCTGGACCCCTAGAAGAAAGGTGTTTTCATCGATCTCCCTACGGGTCCCCACCCATTCCCCTGATTTCGAGGACCTCGGAGTCCGTTAAGTCCATGTCCAGCACCTCCCGCCTCGCTGTGTTTTTTTGTTGTTTTTGTGTTTTGTCTTTTGTTGTTTTGTTTTTGGGTGTGTGTGTGCTTTGTTTTGTTTCTTTTTTTGTTGTTTTTCCTCTTTTTCGACAAGGGCTGAGCTTGGAGCCCTGGATCAAAGTCGTCCCCGTGGTTAAAGGAGAAGAACCGACTCAGAAACATCATCGAACCGATCGGTAGTTTTTTTGCTCTACCCAGAACCATGCAAAGAAAGGCAGCCGCACCCATTTATTGTTTGTATTGCCCTTTACTAGCCTTCATCCATCCAGGTTGTAATTCTAGCTCATTTGGAATTAAGGATCAACGTCGATCACCTTTTGTAGCTTTGATGGAAAAGCCAAAGGTCTCTCCGGGGCGATTCGGTCACAAAGACCAGCCATGATGGGTATGCCTTTTTGCGAGGGTTCAGTTGAACAGGGAAACTCAGCGAAAACCGCAACTAGTTGTTGGCTTTCCCTGTGAGACAAACCCATCTGGGTATTGCTCGCCAAAAAACAAAAATCAGACCAGACGGTGTTCCTTTTGGTTTCCCGAGGCAACCGAAAAGCAGCACACACACCCGCACAGTATGGCATGGTAGATAGAATACGGCACGCATGCAGACATGGCTTGCATGCTGAAACAAGTAGTGCACGCAAGGTTGGTTTCAGGTTGGCTCCATCCAAACAACATTTATTCAACAAGCACTGGAGACATGCTGTGAAGGGTGGAACCTGTGCTTCTCGAGTGGGCAAACCTGAGATCAAAAGCAGGACACACACGTGGAACCCAACCCCTGTGAATGGCAGTGAAGCATCAAAACCAGTTGGATCCCTTCTTGAATAGAAGCTCAAATGCACAGTGAACAAACTGAGTCGAAAGGACATGATGTCGGAACATGTCAGCTTGGATGGCATGATGGCGCCAACAGTATAGTTCCCAAATTTGGATGTGTGGTTTCTGAAATACATTGGGAGCCCCGCAAGTGCATCCTTCAATACACTAGGTAAGCGGGGATCTCTGTTTCGCTTTCTGGCGACACTAGTATGTGGAAGCACCCGTCTGCTTCTATGTGGGAACCGACGAAGGCACCAATTCAATCTGGTATGTTGGGAAGTTGATCCACTTTTCTCATCTCGGAGCTGCATGACATCACCAAAGCAAACTGACATTGTGAACCTTGGTTGATGTGGACCCCTCTGCAAAAAGTTTAACTTTTTGGGGGTGTAGTGGAAAACACCTTTATTTCCCAAAAAGTTAAAGTCTAAGGATCCAACCCAATAGCAGTCAAGGAACTAGCTTCAAGCAGTGGTGAACGATCTCTGATCAAAATTGGTCTTCCACTGTGCAGCGCGTAGGCTGTGCAAGGTCCCATGCCTGGTTGGATGCTGATCTCGGCATTTGTTCGCTTTGGTTTGCTTGCCACAATGACCTGTCCGCATCATGTTCCAAGCTTGCGTACTTGCCCAAGCCTGCTACGTCAGCAATTGTAGCTTCAATTGTTTCAAAAAAGACCTGGCGCTTCCATTTGAGCCACCTCTTTACGGCTTGGATGCTTTTGCTCGATGTCAACGAACAATAAGTGCGTATCGCCAGACTTTGTACATCAGTTTGTATGTGCGCTGTACTGATTGGTTCATTGAACAGCGATATCTCGAGGTTTGCGTTGCTTCCTTGGTGGTGGCAAAGGGACCCCATTTTGTTGCGGGGGATAGATGATGGCCATGACACACAAATGGCCGTGGTTGTCAAAACCAATGGGATCCCATTTTGGTTGGTAGGTGAATTCACCACCCATGCCAAATGCCAAGTCATAGACGAGATTCGCTCCCAACCCAACGAACTTCAAGGCTTCGGTTCATTTCCTTCCATTCCGCCGAACTTACGAATTCTCATGAGCATCTCTCACGGAAAGGATTGGGGGACTGCTCGGTTGCTCTGAAAGGGCAGCAGTCGGTGATCCGAGCGAGCCCCAAAAAGCAACAAAAAAACAAGGCGGAGCCGATCAGTTCGCTCGCGTTGGGTTTTCAGTTCCTCCGCTCAGAAGCCGAGACCAAGCAAGAAGCGTTTCTTCGCTGCAAACAGCTCTGGCTCCCTTGGCTTAAGTCCCCTGGAAAAATCCGCCAAATCCTCGCCAAAAGAGGGGTGGCTGGCATGAGCATAACCTACAAATGCATAGTCATGGATATTAGTATCGCTGCTGGTGATGCGTGGTGATGGTTAGAACAATGGTCGTCATCATAATCATCAGTGCCAGTGATGCTGCTCTCGCAGTAGGCACCGCTTTCAATGTATTCTCATTCTGGTCCACCCGCGGGTGATGCTGGGGATGCGCAATCACCATCATGTTCAACATGTTCATCACGTTCATCATGTTATTACATAACTTTGTTATGTTTTTAACCATGATCATCATGATCATCATGATCAGCATGATCATCATGATCATCATGATCATCATGATCATCATAGATCATCATCGTCATCATGATCATCATCGTCATCGTCATCGTCATCGTCATCGTCATCATCATCATCATCATCATCATCATCATCATCATCATCAGCAACCTCGTGATCTCAGCATCTTCGTGCGTGGTCGTAAGTATAATCATGACCCTTGGTGATGCTTGCAATGCATGATGATAATTATCCTCAGGCGGGCGTGCGGGCGGCCGGGCGGGCAGGCGCGTGGGCGGGTGTGTGTGGATGTGTGTGTGTGTGTGTGTGTGTGTGTGTGTGTGTGTGTGTGTGTGTGTGTGTGTGTGTGTGTGTGTGTGTGTGTGTGTGTGTGTGTGTGTGTGTGTGTGTGTGTGTGTGTGTGTGTGTGTGTGTGTGTGTGTGTGTGTGTGTGTGCGTGCGTGCGTGCGTGCGTGCGTGCGTGCGTGCGTGCGTGCGTGCGTGCGTGCGTGCGTGTGCGGGCGCGCGCGCGCTCTCCCATCCCATCCACTCATCCCATCCCATCTCATCTGTCCATCCATCCCACGCGGCCGACATGCGAGGCCGGCGCGCGGAGCAGTAAAAATAAACAATTGTCCAGTAGTGAATGAAATCGATGCCCTTTAAAACCACCAGGAGAAGTAAAATAAACAATTGTCCACTTCCCTTTAAAACCCACCAGGCGAAAATCGCAAATGTAAGATTTTTTTGTCTGCCTTTTTTCGTGTCTTCAGCACAGTGGGTCTTAAATACATTCAACAAATATTCCACCCACCCACCCACCCACCCACCCACCCACCCACCCACCCACCCACCCACCCACCCACCCACCCACCCACCCACCCACCCACCCACCCACCCACACACCCACCCACCCACCCACCCACCCACCCACCCACCCACCCACCCACCCACCCACCCACCCACCCACCCACCCACCCACCCACCCACCCACCCACCCACCCACCCACCCACCCACCCACCCACCCACCCACCCACCCACCCACCCATCACAAATCTTCATCTCAGCCAATGGAAGCTCTGCCCGAGGTCCCCGGCACGGCACTCTGCGCCGCCTCGCGCTTCTTCTCCGCCGCGGCGAGCCTGGGGACCCGGGGACCCGGTTTCGGCTGGTTGGCTGAAGTGGGAGGCTTCCACTTCCACAGTAAGCACCAGCTAGTAGGTGGTCTATCCCTTTTTTTTCCATAGGGTGTCATTCATCACAATTGCAGGGGTTTCGCCATCCACCTGTCGTGTTCCCCATGTTTCCCCATAGTTTCCCATCTAGGTCCTCCAGTAAAGAGGTTAGAACAAGTTGGTACCCTTTCTTTTGTCCGTAGTCTATTTTAGTAGGGGAACCCTCCCAACCAAGAAAAGGGTGAGAAAGGGTACTACTGGGGGACCAATTGGCAGCTTTCTCGGTGTCTCTTCACACTCTCCACAAAACAAGTGGAAACACCCAAAAGAACATCATTTTCTACCAGGGGGGCCAGTTTGTTGAACCCAGAACGGGCTGGGAGGGGGATCATTTTCGAACACCGATTTTGGATCATTTTCGAACAACGATGTCCTGGATCATTTTCGAACACAGAGTGGGTCATTTTCGAACACATGGGGGGCTATCCTGCGGCAGGTGGGGCAGTTACGTTTGCCTCTTACTGCGTGACCGTGCCACTGCGTCCTGGGGGTGGGGGTGGGGGTGGGGTGGGGCAGTTCCGTTCGCCTCTTACTGCGTGACCGTGCGACTGCATCCTGGGGCTGGGGGAAGGGGGTAATTGCGATCGCTGCTGACTGCGTGACGGTGGAACTGCGTATTGGGGCTGGGGGGGGGGGTGGGGCGGGGCAGTTACGTTCGCCTCTTACTGCGTGCCCGTGCAACTGCGCCCTGGGGCTGGGAAAAGGGGGCCCCGAGTCCCAAGTTACCTTGGCTTTTTGAGCTCAGATGTCCTCGGCGATTTGCGCTCGTTGGCCCCCGTAAAGCCGTGAAAACTCGGCCTAACGGCCGTAATAACTCGCGCGGGAAACTGAAAGGCCGTTACTACTCCGTGAAAAAGCCGTGAAAACTCGTGAAATTTCAAGCTCTGAGTTATCTTGTCCTCGCGACACAAAAACCTCCTTAGCTCATACGGCCTAAGTAACTTGCGAATCGGAGCCTCCTGGAATTGCGATCGCCGCTTACTGCGTGGCGGCGCAACTGCGTATTGGGGCTGGGTGGGGGGTGGGGTGGGGCAGTTGCGTTTGCTTCTTGCTGCCTGACCGTGCGACTGCGTCCTGCGGCTGGGGGGGGGGATGGGGTGGGGCAGTTACGTTCGCCTCTTACAGCGTGACCGTGCGACTGCGCGCTGGTGGTGATGGTGGTGTTGTTGGTAGTGATGATGACGGTGTTGATGATGGTCATGGTGATGATGATGATGATGATGATGATGATTATGACGATGTTGATGATGCTGATGTTGTTGTTGACGATGATGGTGATGTCGACGTTGATGTTGATAATGGTGATGATGTTGTTAATGATGATGATGGTGATGATGTTGATGTTGACGATGTTGACGATGTTGAGGATGTTGATGTTGTTGACGATGATGATGATGATGGTGATAATGATGGTGATGATGGTCATGTTGATGGTGCTGTTGATGATGATGATGATGATATGGATGTTGGTGGTGATGTTGATGATGGCGATGATGATGTTGGTGTTGATGTGGATGAAGGTGATGTTGCTGGTAGTGATGATGACGATGTTGATGGTGATGATGGTGATGATGGTGATGATGATGATGATGGTGATGATGATGATGATGATGTTGACGATGTCGATGTTGATGATAATGATGATGATGATGACGATGGTGATGTCGCTTTGCGTTCCTTGTGCTTTGTGTTCCCGGGTCTACAGTTGACGATTGTCTCCCAAAAGCACGGCGCCATCCATGTGCTACACGTGCATCGTGGTGCGTGTTCGTGCGCCTCATCGTGGTGTGCATGGACACTTGGAAAAATGGCCGTGCTGCTGTAAATCACATACACTTGAGGAAAACCGCGTTCAAAAACGAGCCAAAACACGCGTTCAAAAACGAGCCAAAACACGCGTTCAAAAACGACCACCTTCCCGAACGGGCTGCCCTATTGAGTGTAACACGTAGGTTGTTTCTTGTTGGTTTCCCTTGGAACTCAAAACATAAAAGCCCCCCATTCTGGGTTTGTCATTCCCATTGAAGCCATCCTTCCAAAAACATACCGCTATTATGGGTCTTTGGGAAAAAAGAGAAGCATAGAGAATGCCATCCCCAAAATAGGAACCTTCCATGAAACATACTGTGGATGGACAAAATCCACCACCACCTAAAGAAACCTAACAATGAATATCCCCTGTAAATACCAACAAACACTGGTTTCAACCATGGTTCTTTAGGTGGTGCGATTTCTGGATTTTGTCCATCAGTAGGGCGTTTGGCACACGCAGAAACCACCCGCTCCGGGTGTCCGGCGCGCCGCTGAGCTCCTGCCGCGCCCGCTCCAGCTGCGCCAGCGCGGCCTCGCGTCAAAGCTGGGGTCATGAGTTTGGCGGATGGGCTAGGTCCTCCAGTGGAGAGGTTAGAAGGGTATGAGGGCAGTGGGGAACCTAGTGGGAGTCAAAGTCGGCAAATGGGACTGTTTTTTCCTTTAATTTACCACTTCGGGGTGACTTTGATCATGGTAAAAGGATGAGGCCAGAGGAAAGGTTTCTGAAAATACGGTGGATCCCCGACAAAACCATCTGGGGATGGTTCAGTTTGGTCCCTGTACACCCGTTCAAAGGTATGTGGATGGTTCAGTTTGGGGTGATCCCCTCGTTCGCTGAGAACCAGCAAGTTTGGGGTTGCCTTACGCTGAAAAGGGCCTCCTGCTGCGGATAGGAAAACTCCGACACCAGCTGCTCGGAGTATCAACTATTCATGGGGATGAATCCATCCCAACTGGCGCAAAAAAAATATCACAGGCCTATATGGGGTTTCCCTTTCGGTCTCTTCAAAACACCTGACAGGAGATTCACCGTGAGACAGCTCCAAGAGTAACTCAAGTCTGAAAAAAAACACAAGGCATCCACTTCAGGCCGGCTCTAGTTGGGATTCCCTTTGGACCACATTGCCCTTTTTGGTGAAATAACACGATCCTCTTCAATATTGGTTTTGCTTTTCTTACAAAAACATGAAGAAGCTTTGTTGTTTGAAACCCTACACTTTGCATAAAGTTCCTTTCGCCTTGCCTTTTTTGTCCGTTAGAGGGCCTTGGAGAGAAATCAAGTAAAGTTGGGGGGGGTCATTCGGTTCTAATGTGGCTTTGAAAATTCAACCCAAGAATTTTGACTGGATTTCGCTGGGTAACACAGGTCTGGCAAACAACTGCATTTGTACACTTTCGTTGCACGGGGCGGTTGCTCAAACACGTTCAATGTATGAACCATGAGTTCTGGCTTCAGGAAACGGTCACGAGAAGAGGCAAACATGTCAAAGGCTTGCGTACAGGTGCACACCCTTGACAAAGCAACTGGACAACAGTCGCACTGCCAAAGCCGCGCAGTGGACTGCAATGGGCTGCCTGTTAGGACTCTCCCGACGTAACAACGTTCTGTTGCAGATCTGACTTAAATTGAAAACCCAAACACTTCAATTTGCTTTTAAGTCCACTGGAATAAGATAACTAAATGTTCCGTACTGATAGACTACCTTTAAAACCAACAGGGGGAAAATCATTACACAAAAACATGTTGTTGCTTTTTTTAGCAAATGGAAGAAACAATCAACGTAGCCGAGGCATCCAGAAGCAAGCCTCAGAATGCTCCGGGACAACGCCAGAACCCGAAAACGCCGAAGCTCCGAACTGCGGAGCCACGACCCCAGTTGATGTCAGATGCTGCTGACCCCTCTGCACAAAACAAATCACTGTTAGCGGGTCCAGTGGAAAATCCTTTCCCGTTTCCCAAAAAGTTCTCTGTCCGAAGAACCAACCACATAGCCATCTAGGTCCTCCAGTCGAGAGGTTGGAATACGGGTACCAACTTGTTTCTGTGGTCTATTTTAGTAGGGGAGCCGAATCTCCCAACCAAAAAAGGGGTGAGAGGTCGGGCAGTACTGGGGGACCAATTGCCATCAACAAATCCGAGTCTTAGACGCCCCGGTGCCTCCAAGTCTTGGTGCCAGCCGCTGCCGACCTTGCGGAGCTGCGCAGTTTCAGAGCCATTTGGCCATGCGTCGAAATCAAAAGCCCGTAACCCCAGTGAACATCCCAATCCACACTAAAAGAGGTTCTAAGATGGGTGGTGAATTCACCTGCCCCGAAATGGTACCATTGGTGTTGACCCACGGCCATTTCCCTTTCAAGGGGACCTGTAAAAGTGGCGATCGTTTCAACAGAAACCGCCAGTAAAATGCAACCTTTGAAGGGGAAATCCAGTGACACCTGCGGTGAATTACATGGCCGACCAAACTTTGCAGCAAACGAGCGGCATCGACGACGCGTGCCGATCAACATGACTGGCAAAGCAAAGCGGAAATAATGACTTGACAAGGTACGAGTACTTGTGCTGGGAATACTTAGTCGAATGGCCATAATTCACCCAGCCTTCACAAGAAATGCAGTCGGTCAGTTTCCTGAAAAGGAATAAAGTAGCACCAAAAGCTCTGCTTGGGTGTGTCTATTTTAACGATTTTGGGTGGCTTGTCCTTTTGGTTTCCCTTTAAAACCCACTCATCTGTTGGGGGGGGTACGAAGACCCAAGAGGCATACCCCACTCGTCCTCGCCGGAAATCGATCCTGAGGCCGCTGGCACTTCCGGCCGCCTCCATGGGCAACCGCCTCGGATGGGGGGTGAAGGTGCCAAGTCCTGATTCAGCATGCACCAATGAGGCATGTCTTTTTGAGGGTCCCTTGGTTTCAAGGAGAACCCAAACGAAAAACAAATTCCTGGAGGCTTCTCCTTGGATTCTGCCGCATCGTTTCCTGTCCCAATTGTCCAACCTTCGCCACCTGACAGGGCATTCGTCCACAAAAAATGAGTCCTTTCGCCAGCTGGACCGGCTGCGAAACCCCAATGGGGTGACCCATCACTGGCAAAGGACACGGTTGCCGAATCAGCACCGGAACCTGAGCACATCGCCTGGCCCGGTGCTTTTTTCCTTGAAACGGGAGTCTCTGTCAAGTTTCATGTGTGTTTCCGGTCCAACAAATAGGGTCATGTTCTTTTTGGGGGGATGCTTTCTGGGGTGTTGCTTTTTAGGAAAGTATAAAACCACCATGTTGGGGGGTAGCAACCCCCCCCAGTTTGACACTTTTGCTCCACTTCGCCCAGGTCGGCGAGTTGAGGACCCAACTGCTGCCGATCTTCCACCAAGCTCTGCTGCGTCTGAATCACCTGACGCATGGTGAAGGCATACCTAACCTTGCTCGGTTGCGAAATCTGCTCCCCTGCTAAAAGGTTTTAACTTTTAGTGGTTTGATACGGAAAACCCATTAGTTGGCAAAAAGTTAAAGTCCTACATCCAAGCAAAATGCACCTCTGCTTTGTCATGGGGCAACCTATTGACGTCAGGGCTGAACAAAACAAGCGCGACACGGAACGACGCAGCTTCCAACTGCACTCCAAGGGTAGCATCCACCACGTGGGCAATCTAAGCGTCAACAAGAGGGGGGGGCACGTAGTCTTTAGCATTCCAGCTCCTGAATAAGTGCAGGACCGCTCCACATAAAACACGTGAAAGTTGCAATGCTGGAGTCATCCAGCTGCCATCTTGCCATTTTTCCAGCATGAGTGCCATGAATCTACATTTGCACAGGCGGAGATTGCGCAAGTTTGGATCTCGATTGCTCAGCTTGCAGAACCAGCAGGCCCAAATCCCGGCGTTACCTCAGTGGCTGGGCAAGCAAAGCGCAGAGAACGGCGAAGCAGAACCTGCAAGCCCACGTCCCACAAACGCCCACAACCATAGGTGTCCTTTTAGGGGAAATAGATGGGTTTCCCTGGTAGATGATTAACCCAGCAGGTAAACCAGGGCTCTATTTTTCTACCTAAACAACCAAAAAGGACACCTATGCCCACACCACGTCCCACATGCCTGCCGGGACAAGGGGTAGGAAGACCAGTGACCGGGTCATATTTTCACATATATATGTATTACCACATATGATATAGACACTTAAAATGTGAAATAAGATCATGTACCGCAATAGAATACGTATTCTATACTTAAAAGATAAAAACAACAACAAACAAAACATTAAAACAAATGGGAACCCCTAGTCTCAGGGAACCCCAAAAAATACGACCTGGGCTTCCCCAAAAAAAAGCACCCCTCTCCTTTGCGCGATTTTTTTCTCCCCCATCCGGTTCCGCCTGAGAGCTCTCGCTGAGCTCCGCGTGCAGGCTGCGCCGCCCGTGCCTGGTGCTTTGCCCCGAGGGAACCGAAGGTGGCGTTCTGCTCCCCTAGAAACTCATAAAACTTTGAGGGGCAAAACAAAAACAACAACTTAAAACGTTTAGTGTGTCTAGGTGTGTGTGTGTGTGCGTGTGTTTTTGTTTTTCAAAGATGAGCCGGCAAAAAGGGTTGAAGTTCGAACATCCAAGCAAAATGCACCAAAGGAACCGTCCCGCAGCTTCCCCCGAATTGGGAGTTTGGTGCTTTCCCATTTGGCTTCAAAAGGAACTCCTTCTAGGTCCTCCGGATTTGAGAGGTTAGAATAAGGATACCCTTTTTCTGTAGTCTATTTTAGTAGGGGAACCCTCCCCCAAAAAAGGGTAAAAGGGCACTAATGGGGGACCTAGCATCCTTCAGCTTCCCAATTTGTGATTTGGTGCTTTCCCACTGCGCCATGGGTCAAAATCCAAATCGTACCCCCCAGTGAACATCCCAATCCCCACTAAAAGAGGTTCTAAAATGGGTGGTGCACCTACCCCAAAATGGTACCATTGGTTTGACCCACAGCCATTTGGTTTCAAAAGAAGCTCAAATCCCAAACCATGCCCTTCTCCTTGCTAAATCCATATGGGTGGCTCCTCGGTTGTTGGGGAACCCGTTTTGGGGGTTGGTTTAACCGCAAACGAGCACCATTTGGGGGTCCGAAAAGAGCGACACGCCCGAACATGGCATGACCACTGGTTCGAACACCACGAAGCAAAGGATACGGTACATTGCAATCACAAGGCAAGGCGCAGAAGGTCATTTAGGGGGCCTCAAATGGAATACTCATCAATGCCCATATACCTGGGTCTACTGTTTTTTGGGATCCATAGGTGTAGCAATGCCTGAGGCTGAGTGCGTGTGGGTGTTTTTGGATTTCGGAGACCAAGCAGCACGGCCCTGGCGAACGACAAACCATGAAGATAAATCAGGCGGCAGAAGTCTGGAAAAGAGGAACAATATGGTGGACTCCGGCCCTTCGCCATGGGTTGTGTTGCATTCTACGAAAGCGGGATGTGAATCTAAACCCGTCGAAGACTTCAGAGCAGTGTGGGGTTGATTTCCTTCCAACATACTGCAAACCCGGCAAACAGTTCCAGCGCACAAGCACACACACACACAGCTTGATTCAACCAGTTGGGACAACATTTGGAGGCAAGAACAATCAGTGTGCCTGGATGGTCCTCCATTTGCTTTAAGTTTGCAGGTTTTGCGTTGTCCAGTAGTGATAGATTCCCTTTAAAGCCAACAGGGGAAAATAAATCATATTCATTTCAGCAAATGTGCTTGCGCTTTGGAGTTTGTCTAAAACAGAAAGTGCCGCCTGCAGAGAGAGTTCCCACAAGGCGCCACCATTTTATTTTCATTTCTTTATCAAGCCATGTTTCTCTATATATATATATATATTAAACATCATGTGGATGTCTGTGAATGCATGGGATTTGATTTGTGTTATACAGAATGAGTTTTTTTCAGTTTAATTAAAGACGCTGCAACATGCATAATCAGGGCTGTGGGGAATGACAACTTCTGTGAGACAACAGAAAGGGCTTCCCAAAGACATATGTTCGGGGGATTCCCTTGTATCACAGAAGTGGTTGGAGAAACCAATTCCTTGATCCCACAACCCTGTGCATAATGACGTTGGCTTGTTCTTTGCTCTTCCAACCTTCAGGTTGCGAGGCGGTTTTCTTCCAAGCTACCCGCGAAGACTCGCGTTTCTTCGAAGACCACAAGACCAAGGAAGTGGCGGGACGGAAGTGGTGTGGGACAGAAGGTCACAAGGCCAAGGGTACTAAAGAGCAACATGAGTGCAACGACCACAAATGGTGAAACAAATATTTAATAGTTCACCAACCTGGAATTTATTGTCGTTGGGGGGCTATTCCTCACATAAATCACAATTTAGGGGTGAATTCGGTCGTGTGAGGTCGTTGTAATTCACCCAGAAATATGTTCTTTCAGGGGAAGAAGCCTGATGAACATGTGTGGAGCGCGTCCTGGACGAAAATGAGAGGTTTCCTTGTGGCTGCCCTTTAAACCGATCCAACAAAGGGGGTTTCGAATCCTTGGAATCGTGCTCATGGGAACATAACTTGGCCTGGCCCGCTCGAAAGGAAACAGGGACCTTTTGGGGACCACCTTGAAACCGACAACTTTGCTGGGATCTCTAACCTCATTTGGGTCTTCTAGGTCCTCCAGTAGAGAGGTTAGAATATGGGTACCCTTTTTTCTGCAGTCTATTTTAGGGGAACCCTCCCAAAAAAAAGGTAGAAGGGCACTGCAGGGGGATCTAGTCGTTGCCCATTAGAAGCCGCTGGAAGCCCCACCTTCCACTGAACACTTGGTTTGGTCTTTGCGAAATACTCGGCGCATGACGTTCCGAGCTGCTCAAACTCCTCCAGCAGCGCAGACTCCAGTGCCCCGCGCTCCTGGGCGACATCGGGAGTCTGGAGTTCGGTTGGGGAGTTGCCCATTTTGTCCGGAAGATGTGACGGGGTGAAGCTCTCAATGTGTGAAGACCCATTCTGGACACTGCAACCGCACCCATCTCGCTTGCCTAAAAAAACGAAGAGAAAAAAAACACGGGGGGGAGGGGGGCAAAAAAAGGCCCCTGTTCCGTGCGTGTGTGTGTGTCCGAGGTGTAGTCTGTTTGTTGAAAGGTTGATGCTTGGGCACGTGAGGGGCAGGCTTCCAAGGGATTCTAGTCCAGTACTCCATTGACATGGGATCTTTCTCATGGACCCCCTCAGACGTTTTGGTGTCCTTTTGCTTTCCCCTGAAAGAAATCCAAAAAGCCACAAAGGGGACCCCTATTTTCAGAAAGATGCCCACCCAAGAAGGGCATGGGGGAAAGCGGTGAGCTCAGGCTCCATTTGTTTTTCCTCATGATCGGCATTTACCTTAAAGAATATCTTCTGTCTGACCAGTGTTACTTGTCAAAGGTAATCTATACCCAAGTGGCTATGCCCCTCGCTTGCTATTATCATATGCCTCTCCGTTGAGTTCTGGCTACCCTGGTAAGCCTTGGTTGCCTGCATGGGGGAAGTACCACTTTAAAAACCCTGCAACAGTGAAGTGCACATGCCTTAGTTGTGTTTGCGCTTTCGTCTAAGGTGGTTCCTTGCCAATGGATTTGTGATCCCTTGCCTCAAACATTTTGCGTGCTTTCCAGGCACCAAATACAATCCGCTTCGTGGAAAGTGTACAAACTCAATCCGTGAAAATTCCTGTTCTAATTGCACATGCTGCAAAAAGATAATCAAGTAAAAGAAAGGTTTGGAAGATGAAGAGCGCATATCGCAGTCCCTGAATGCTTGGCATCATCGTGGAATCAAAGCCAAATGCATAGGCAACACAAGGGGGCAAGCAGGGTCATTTACAAAGATGATACTTGCCGGGGAGACTCGTAGAAGTGGCAATCTATGTCTTGGAGCACGTCAGAAGGCCTTCTCGCACTGCATCGCGACATCTTGCTGCAGACTCGATGCTTGCTATTGCGTCTCACTACAGCTTGGGCTGTTTACTCCGGGCTCTAGGTCCTCCAGTAGAGAGGTTAGAATAAGGGTACCAACCTTTTTTTTTGTAGTCTATTTTAGTAGGGGAACCCTCCCAACCCAAAAAGGGATGAGAGGTCGGGCACCTAGCTGGGAGACCTAGGGTCTTCAAGGCAGACTTGCCCGCGAAAAGACCGCCGGGCCTGGATGCTCGTCTCCACGATGGAGTCCACCGAGTTGATGTCTCCAGTCACCTGACAGGTTGCCCTCACGCTCAAAAAAGATTTTCAGCTTGAAGCTTCTTGGAGTATCATACCCTACCAACATAACTCAGTTGCTTTCCGCAGCTTTTAACTTTTGGTGGCTTAATACGGTAAACCCATTCGTTGGCAAAAAGTTGAAGTCCTAACATCCAAAAAAAATGCACCAAAAGATAGAACCTGAGAACTGGGCCCTTGCAACACAAATTCAACCAGAAGCTTGTCTACCCTTGAGCTCAATTGGTTGCCCTTTTTGTCAAGATCCGTTTGGGACGGGATTGAAATGAAGCCCATGGACACCATCGACATGCACAACTTGAAGGGGTCCCGGTGTCCTGAAATGAAGGCCATGGTAGGGCCATGGTTTGCGGCTCCTCTTCCCCTAACACCAGGTACCCTCAACTTGCTGGTGTAGGAAGGGAATGTGGGGATGAACTGGAAGGGGATCCCAACTTGGCCACCAGTTGGGATCCCAACTTCTCTCGGGGTCAGTCCAACTCATTGGATTCCCTTGAGACAAAAACACAAGGGATTTTTGTTGGTCTCGGGGTTCCATTTTTCTCATTCCCCCTATGGAAGGTCCAAGAACACAGATCTCAAATCCCACCTGCAGCTGAAGCTGCAAGAGCAGCTCCCCTGCCAGCCACCGCGCCCGGGCAGGCCCGCCCTGGCCAGGAGAGAAAACTCAGGAAGCTTCCCTCCTGGAACCATTTGGGTGAATTATAATACTTCACCAGCCTGAAATAAGGCCAAGGGTGCTAAGAGCAACATGAGTGCAACGACCACAAATGGTAAATTATAATATTTCAACAACCTGAAACTTATTGTGATTAAAGGGGGCCATTCCCCACACAAACCACCAGTTGGGGTGAATTCGGTCGTGTGAGGTCGGAAAATAATTCACCCAGAACCATGCGATTTAATTTGTTTACAGGTCTGATTTGGTTAGCCACCTCCCAAACTGGCTTGGCTCCATCCATGCGCTCAGATTCGCAAAATACCTGGTCTGACTGAAGTTTCTTACAAAACATGGCCATGGTGCACATCTGCACAAAATAGTCGGCGCATGTCCATCTCCGACTCGGTTTCGCAATTCGGCTTGCTAATATACAGCGCTGCAACCCCATTCGCTTTGTGTCCAACTTCGCTGTACCTCTGGGTAGGGCAGCTTGGTGACATCTGTTTGTGGACGCTCATGCCGGGGTGCTCCATTTATCTCACTGCACGGCCCTTCCCGATGCGCGTGTTGCACACATGTCCTTGTTAAAGCCGCCCTTGCCCTCTCTTTCGCTCGTCATGGACTTCATGGCAACGCATGGACCAGGAATGGCAGTTGCGAGGACGCAGGACCAGCCACAAATGCTTCGCTGAAGTTCGCCCAATCCCTTCCTTTCCCCTGCATCACTTCCATTTAGTTAAGACCCCTGGAATAACGACATATTTCCAGTAGTGAAAAAATCCTTTTAACACCAACAACCCTGGAAATCCACGACTGTTTGTTAAACGTCCTTTGCACCTCGCCTCTTTTTTGCAGCTAAAGCCTGTTTTTTGCGCCTGCAATGAGCCATGGCGTGGTATTTGATGGATTATTCGTGCTGTTGCCACGTTTAGATTCTACAAAGCCTGTTCCACCCCAACATGTCTTTGACACAACAATTTTGGTGTGAACATAGCGGTCCGTGATGTACGCAAAAGTAGCGTGAAATCACCGTGAAAATACCGTGAAATTGGCGTGAAAGCCTGTTTTCCAGCGTGAAAGCACGTTTTCTGCCGTGAATTTTGACACCGGTGAATCTATGTGTTTCAGCCTGTCCTTTGGTAATCCCTCTGCTTGTTTTGTGGGAACGGAGGTCAAGTCTTTGCACACTTTGGTCCTGAGCACGTGCGGCCCCCGAATTGTTCAATGATATCAGCTGAGCTTGGACAAAACTGCTCCTGGCAAAAAACCGCCTTTCACAGAAAACATGCAAAATAAGCTGCCTTTGGAACAGGGACAAGGGAAAATCAGACATATTCTCAAGCAGATGAAATATCCTGACTTCAGCCCGCCGGCAACAATTCACGCCCTGGGGTCTGTGGTTCTCCGGCCGTCCCGGGCCCGGCCCGCCTGCGCTACAGCCGGCAGCGCGGGTCGCAAGGGCGCCAGCCTCGCGGCAGGGGTGCCGTGCCCGGCCGGCGACACGAGTCCGTCGGTCCTTCTGGCCAGGTCCTCCAGTGGAGAGCTTAGAATAAGTTGGTACCCGACTTTGTTCATTTTTTTTGAATGTTGTTGATTTTAGTAGGGGAGCCCTCCCCCCCAAAAAAGTTGGTAAAGGGGCACTACTGGGGGACCTGGCTGGTATTGACCACAGAAAGACACAGTTGGAAGGTCGATTCCGAGAGTCGCGGGAGCTCCATGGAAGTGGCGGAGAGAATATTGCAAGCGCTTTGAACGACAACCTTGGCGCTACCAGGGCTGGATGATGGCAAGTCTGACCGAAGCAGGGGTTAACTGGTAAAAGTTTGGAATGGGAAAGCCAGGTTGCAACATGAACTGCTGACTCCTAGTTGAAGCTAAGCCAGAGCCATGAATACAACTCACTTGTTCCCGCATCAAGACTAGCAATAACGCATTTGAGCCAAGTGATCCATTGCATGTATGAGTACCCCTATTGCATGTCCTCCTGAAACCCTGTGCATGACGGGCAAAAATCAGGATCTCTGGAACTCTGTACATTGGCTGCTGTTGTGTTTCACACCCCGCCAAATGGGTCCAGTTCTTGGCCCATGGAAGCTGCAGACGGCGCTCCGAAAAGACCCGCCTCGACGGCTCCGGGCGCATGCGCAGGAGGCACCAAAGACAGAAGCTCGCCCCTGGCCAGAGCGGGTGATCCTGGCGAGCAGCGCTTCGGCATCAAATGCTTGTGGACCAAACAGGCTCGTTCAGCTTTGCCTAGGTCCTCCAGTGGAGAGGTTAGAATAAGGGTACCTTTTTTGTTCTGTAGTCTAGTTTAGTAGGGGAACCCTCCCCAAAAAAAGGGTAGAAGGGCACTACTGGGGGACCTAGTTGCGCTGTTCTGGGCAAGCAAATCTTGCGTGGCCCCTCACACAAATAATGGGAAACAAAATGAGTCTGCCAAGGAAATGTCCTAAGCTACAGTCACGGCAAGCAGAAAACTTGCAATTCAATAATGAAGTAAAGACTTGTGTTTTCCAGGATTCGATGCGACAAAGAGCATACCTTGAACCAAACATGATGTGTATACGTGTGTATATAAATATAAAGAGATATCTCTTGCGACCGACTCCAGGCAGCTTTCAGCATCCGTCATTTCAATCAATTGGACAACCCCGTGGCTCGTGAT